TTTTATGGAGGTCTGTGGGAGAGGCACCGAGATCGCAGATCGCTTCAACTTTGCCCGCGGCGTCAGCTTGAATTTTATTGCCATCGTGCATATTTTAATGAGGCATTAAAGCCTCGACTCGACTCGACTCTCTACTCTACTCTGATTTCCCCCCGACATACGTATACTCGTAATTTATGAGCAACTAAATATTTACAGGCGTAGGAGGCTGGCTGGCTCTGGGGTGTGTGTTTGACTTTTGCCGGCCCAATGTTTGGCTGCGTTTGCCGTTTTTAACACTCGATTACTTTAAATGCCATCGCACCCCTCGCTTCCGCTTCCGCTTCTCGGCATTTGACTTTGCCTGTCAATATTTGCTTTTGGCTTAACTAGCACATACATAGTGGCTTTGGCTCCTGGCTTTGGGTTTAGGTTTAGGTTTTGGGGTGCCAGCCAGAACCCCCACATCAGCATATTCGTTGGCTCTCTTTGCCCAGCTTCTTCTTATGTAATGAGTATTTGGTTACACAAGTCTTTGAGCTGACCCTTCCACATTACTCTAGCTGGTCCGCTTATTGAATGAACGCTTAAATTACTAAGTAAATGACTCATTTATCAACTGCAGCTTGGCGCTTGGTGTTTGGTGTTTGGGATTAGCATGGCCTGTCAGCAGGACACTCTCTCCTCCCTGGTGGAGATTTCATTAAAAATGATTTTAAGGAACCAAGTTCGGCAGCGCATAAATTAAAATACTTTGGCATCCGGGCAATGATTGCCAGTCCGATGCACTGATGCAGCCATGGCATTCGAATGTCAGTTCAATTAACTCGTTGGCAGTTGCATAATTACGTTTAGCAGTCAATAAACAAGAGGGATTTACGATTTTTAGCAATTTTAAAGTGTATTTTTCAGGCTTAACAGGTAAGTATTTAAGTCTGGAGTTTCCATTAACACTTTCCTTAAGTTGCAGGCTTAATTCCTAGCTTAAAATATTAACAGCAATTAACTCACAAAGAACTTGGTAAGAAAAGCCCCTTTCCCGTGCTAAGCTGGCTCCTTTTCTGTACTCTACAAACTGAATTACCATACAAATTAAATGGATAGTTTCAGTCCCTGGAATAGCAGCTGCAAAGCAAGCAAATATTAATTTTATGCTTAATGTTTACAATAACTTTTAAGGTACAAAGGCAGATAAGCAATAAGGGCTATAACCCCAAAGAAATCTCTGTGAAAGCACCTCTTTGCCTTCAAATTTATGATTGTTTGCATTATGCGTTTAATGTCGCTTGATTTACATTAGTTTGTGCAGCGAGAAAAATTGAATTTCCCAAGATTTTCCACTGAAAATGACACAACAAAAAAATGAGGACATACAAGACCCAAGAGAAAGACACGCTGAACGTGCCGCCCCCCAGAAGCAGACGCAATATGCAAATAATCTGCAAATTTATAGGCTTTTGCCCCGGGACTCCTTGCCACAGCTGCGACCTGGCCAGCGTAAGTCCTTGAGTGGCATTCGGCTAAGCCAGGTTATTATCTTTTATGAACTGAACTTCCGTTTTGATTGGTTTAATGCTGTTGCAGATTGCTTGGCGCTTGCGGGAACTCCGAATGATTGATGCCTGCGCAACGATGTCACAGGGAAAACATGAGCCCAAAATCTTGACATTTCTCAGGAAAAAAAATCCCAAGTACACGTATAGGAAATCCAACTCCCATGTTCATGTGGAAAAACCCATTAAAACACTTGAGCCTGGCAGACGCGACGCGGCATGTGCTCTCCAAAGCAACAAAAACAGCGGCAACCAGAATGCATTTCCGTTAATAGTGAAGGCGGCTTTGAAGGCAGCCCAGCCAGCCAGCCACACTCAGACGCCGCAGCACTTGTTGTGTGTTACCCTTAAACCTTCGAAAAACTCCAACTCCAACCCTCAAACGTTACAAGACCTTCCCCATTTTAGGGGACATAAAATGTTATTGATATTGCAATTTTTAGCATTTTGTAATTGAGGCAAAAGTCGGCTGCCTATCGCAGCCATCAATTGTCTGCCAGATACCAAACCGAACCTGCTGCTCCTCTGCGGAGCGGGATAACTGTCTAAATGACACTTGAGCATGTGTTTAAACATGCCAAGCACTTGGCCCACTCAAACTATGCAGCAAGCGGCAGTCAGGAGCAGTCAGGAGTCATAACACTCAAAGAAATAAAGGAAACTTACAAGAACAAGTCACTTACTAACCATTTAAGAAGGATTTTAAGCTATTTTTTAACAAATTTAAATCTAAACATATTGCTTATAAAATTTTATATTTACAGAACTGAATGACTTTCTAACTTTAAGAAAACTCACTAAACTTCTCCCAGTGCACCGCACGGGTTGACACTTTACTCGCTGGCATCAAAGTTCATGGGTGTCGAGGCAAGCAGAGAAGGAAAGGGGCTTCAAGTGTAGGGGAACCCCCTGTCGATGCGCTGATAAGTCCCCCTATCTCCTCAATTCTACCCCAGTATTCGTCCTCGTCCTCGTCCGGTTCCTTCATGTGAGCATCCCTCTGAAGTTGGCCCGAACGCATCTTGTCTCGTCTCGAGAACGAAGGCGAGTGCCAATGTTGCCAATGTTGTTGGGTAAACTCATAATTGGAATTAATTATGCATTCGCACTTTGCGGCCAACTTTTCAAGTGGCTGGGAGTGGTTAGCTGGAGTCAGTTAGCCGGGTCCTTTTCCAGTATCAGTGTGTATTTGTGTGTGTGTGGTGCTGTGCTCCTTTAATTGTCCAAAGAGAACAAGCGCGTCTCGTAGCAAGTATCCAGATCCAAGAAACTGGTGACTGTCGGCAAGGGTTAAGTGCAAATTGCAGTTATCGTAAGTATTTCTTACACTTACTTTAGGCCAAGCATTGTCCTGGGATGAAAGGATATTCCAGGGTGTCACGAATAAGCATAGATATTAGAAGAAGATCTTGGAATTTAGTAACTACTTTAATAAATATTGATTCAAAATTAATTTGTTTCTCTTATTTTTTTATTCTTTTTGATTTTTAATTGAATAAACTTTTCAGTTAATTTTATTAAATATCATTTAAAATTCTGTTCTTTATACTGTTTTCTTCCGGGCAGAACTTCACCTGGACCTCCCTCCGACTCAAGAAACATCCCCATTTAGCAATTCTCGACTGGAAGCCATTCTAATTTAAGTTAGCCCATTTATCTTATGGCTTTCCTCTTTGTGTGCACTTTTTTCTGTTTGCCTCGGTGTCCCAGTCTACCTCCCTTAAGCAGTCCAATTTGTTGCTCCTTTATGGCTACTTATATTCCATGTCCTGCCCACACCTGAGCCCAATAATTACTGTGTGCCCGTGCCCGTGCTAGAGCCTGTGCTCGGCTTTGGTTCGCTTTTTTACATGCTTGCCTGCCTGTCCCATTGTCCTGGCCCGGAGTTTGCATTGCGGATTTGGCCTTTCTTGTTCCCATTTGCGGTGGAATGGTTTGAATGCATAAAGGGAACGCTCAAGATGTTGGGAATTAATTAAAATTTGACAGCTAATAAAACGCAATCACAGCCCAGAGACACTAACAGAGATTGAGAGAGGGGGTTGGCTCCCACAATGGCCATTTAAGTTGCGAATTGCGGACAATTGCACGCTTCATTTCGCCTGTGTTCGCCTGTTTTGACAAGCCATCGGAATCGAGTCACAAAAGACACTGATGACAGAGAGAGACCCGTACCGAAAATGACAAAAGCCTGTCGCAAATCGCAAATCGCAGGCTGTAAGTCGCAAGTGCGGAATCCCAGCTCGCGGGGCAAAAGGCACGGAGAGAAATTAAAAGGAAATTTGTCTGGTTTAGTTATAAAATTCAAGCATTTAACATTCACTAAAATAATAGCTTAAAATCAATGAAAGGACTTGCCAAGAAGGACCATCTCTTGTTAGTTCTTCAATAAATATTCTTAAAATGTTCTTTCTTCTCTACAATATTTCCTTTCAGTGCTCCAAATGCCGGACAATGGCGGGCAGCTGGCATGGCCGGAAACGCAGCGACACGAGGGGACTCTCTGGGCCTCGTCGCGTGTCATGAGCAAACAAGATAATGTTACAGCAGTCATCGCAAATCGAGCGCAGAAGGAGCAAGGAGAAAGGAGCGGAAGGACCAGGGACACTCGGCATCCGCCGGCATTCAGTTTTGGCAGTTTGCTTTACCACCGTCCACTGCCACTCATCCCCCCGCCGGCGATTTGTACAAAAATGCAAATGGAAACGTCTCAGCTTACGGCCAGCAAGTAAGGAGCTGGAAGTGGAAACCGAAATGGAGCCGGAGACGGGGAACTGGTCTTAATGAAAATGCTGGCACGGGCCACAACAGGCTGCCAAGTGGCCGGTGTCCTTTGCTGGTCTCCGTAGGCTGGGCAATGATTGATCGCCGGCATCAATTTCCCCAGAAATGTTATTGCCATGCGTTCGACAGTGGGTCGATTGACGGTCAGGTCAGGTCACCACCACCGATGACTTTAATTATGCCTTTAAGCCCTTGGAACTTGACTTTATTGCATTTTTTTCACAAATATCAACCAAGCATGAGCAATCATTAAATATTATAAACAGCTTGGAAAAGGATTTATCATAAAGCCTTTAAGGCATTTGGCCAATCGGCTTCTTAGTCCTTTAGCGTTTTCATTTATGAAAATGTCTGAAACATGTTTCGCTTGCGCAAACAGAATGCGAGTGCGAGTATGCAATAAAATTCCATTACAGCAATGGCTCGACTTAAAAAACTTGGCCGAAAAAGGAAGAAGGCTTTGGTAGGATGGTAGAATGAAATTTTGTTGCATTCGCTGGGAGTAGGAGCTGGACCAGGAGCAGGAGGAGTAGATGGAGCCGCACCAGCAAGTGTATTAAAAGCCCGCAGACATTTCGCCTTTACGTGAGTGCATTGCATCGCCTGTGGATGTGTATGTGTGGCAAGGTCCTTGCATATTTTATGAAACTTGGCAAAGCATTTAACAACACATGCACACCCACAGACAGAGGCAAACTCATTACTTGAATTTATTTAGCACTTAAACCAAATGTTTCATTCGCCTCAGCCGGCTGATTTGGTGCTCTCATCCATCCCCGCCGCCTTCATCAGCCCCTGGACATCTCCGCACTCTGGGTTCCACTCGACGGAGTTTGGACGTGCAACTTAAGTCCTTCTCCTGCCAGTTGAAGATCTTTCTGCACGAGCAGGATTCCGAGCACTTTGACGGTTGAGATGTGGATCTTACAGCCTGAACGGCTTTAATCAGTCTCAGGACCACAGTTTTTCTTTGATCTTCGGGGGGTTGGGTGCAGGGATTGGCCTCGTTATGGACATAGCCACAGCGAGTGCAAACATCCGCCATTGTGTTGACCAGAAGCTCATTCTTGGCGCAGGCTTCGATGGAGCCGCTGGACAGGATCGCACTGCTGGCCTTGGGCGATGGGATCGAGTATGGGATGTCTACTTTAACCCCACATTTCGGACACATCTCTGTGCCGGAGTCCTGGTCCTCCTGGTTCCCCTCTTCCTGCTCGTCGGAGGAGCCCTCTGAATATAATTTGATAATCTGCTGTTCACGGCACGTCTTTCGGGGCGAGTAGAACAACTGCTGGATGGGTCTCAAGGGTTGACCATCTCTACTCTTAGATGTTTGCGTTGAAGGTCTCTTTGGCGGAGGTTGCTCCAATTGACTATCCGAATGCTCCACCATCAGCTTGTATTTTGAATCTACCTTATCCTGACAGCACTTCTTCTGGCTAGACTTCTCCTGACTAGACTTCTCCTGACTAGAATTCTCCTGGCGAGACATCTTCCGTTCACGCTCCATGGCCTAAAGATTGAGGTAAACTTTAGTGGGCCAAACCCTCATTCTTTCGTCGCAGACAACTTACCTGGAACCGAAGCTTGTGTTCCGTCATCATCCTGTTGAGGTTCTCTATGGAGTAGCGCTCTTCGATTTGGCGCAGATCCTCTTCCTCCTCGGACGCCACTTCCCACATCATAGAGCTCGTGGCTGATAGGGAGGTGGAAATTTGACTGGTCGGAAGAAGGCGGCGCAGGCGGTCATCATCTTTCTTTATCCGCTCCGCCTTCAGCTGCTGCTGAAGCGTCGCATTATCAGGTTTAGGGACAGTTAGAGTGACTTGGGACTGTGTCTCGTTTTCGCCCTGATTGCCAAAGTGAAAGAGCCGCGAGGTCAACCGAGCACGAGACCAAAACCTGAGGTTACGGAGGTGATCCATCTGGGAATGCGTATTGGAAGCATATCCGCTGGCAAGCGAACCACTGTCAGCTTTTTTGTCGGTCGGGAGCTTGCCCTTTCGAATGATCTTCAAGTAGGTCAGGTACTTTTCGGTCAGCAGGCGCTTTATATCATGCTTGCTAATGCCGCCGGCCAGCAGTTCATTGTGGAAATCCGTGAGATGGTCCCACATGTAGTGTTTCCCCACCGCCTGCATTAGACCCTGGACGTTGGGTGCATGATCGAGGATAGGGTTCGATTCTATGACGTCCTTTAGAAAGTATTGGATTGGTCTATACTTGGCATTGGACTTCAAGTTTTTTATGTTGTATTTTCTGGGGAAGGAAGCGGTACTCTCGTTGTAGACCGACTCTAAGTCTGACATTGCTTCCACTTCACTTGCACTTCCGGTCAAACTTCCGAATTTACCAACCTGTGGCAGAAGATCAAGGTCAATATTTTTTAGATTACGAGCTTGTTCAAGAGATGGAATTTTATTCTGATTTTTGCTAGTCTTGCTTTTATCTTGATCTTCACCAGTCTTTTTTATATCTTGGTTGCTCCTCTGATCATCAATTTCGGGATCGGAATTACTTCTTTCTGGATCTTCAATTTTAACATCTGCTATAAACACAACGGAAGGACCTAATCTACGGGCGGTATTATCTGGCTTCTGTCCGTCGGGATAATCCATTATACCGCCAGCTGGACTTACATTCTGATCGTCAAATTGATGATCTGCTTTAAAATCAGCGGAATCACCTGATTTATCGTTATCCTTATACTCCTTTCTAAGGGAGTCCTTAAACACACTCCTCCTTCCGTGCACCGATTTCCGACTTCTTTCCGTCCGAGGCTTTGGTTGGAAATCCGCATGGGGTAGACCAAAACCGATGGATTTGCGAATAAATTTTCGCCGGGGATCATTTTCCATGACTAATTTTTTCACCGATTCACTAAGGGAGGCGGCGCTGTTTGTGACGCTGGCCTCTACGGAGGCGCTCTTCTCGTACTTATGCTTTCGTTTTGTCAGCTTTTTCATCATCAAATCTGAGTCGTCTTCGGAGGATTGACTACTTAGCCCTCTTTTTGATTTCCTCTTCTTCTGAATCTTTTTCTGTGGCGTGGTGGAAGAATGTAAGAGATCAGAGGTGTCCCAAAGGTCCTTAGTTTCGACCACCTTTCTGCCTTTGTTGTCTACCTTTAAGTCGTCCATCGGTTTTCCAATTTTCTCATCCCCGGATTTTGACTTTCTAGCATGTTTGTGTGAAGTTAAGGGATCCAAGCTGTCCCGAAGTTCCTTACTTTCCTTCGAAACTCTGGGACTTGGATCCCTATTCATCTTCAAGGCTTCCAACGCTTTTATAATTTTCTCATCCAGAGAGCTTAATTTTGGCTTTCTAGCGCCCAAATCATCACTAATTTGTTCATCCACTAGTTTTGGTTTTTTAGCATATTTGGACTTTAGGACATTAGACCTTAACTCAGTGACTTTGTCAACCTTTTTGTTCTCTACCTTCAATGCGTCCATTGGTTTTTCAATGTTCTGATTTGATTTTGATTTCGACTTTCTAGCATGTTTGTGTGAAGTTAAGGGATCCGAGCTGTCCCGTAGGTGCTTACTTTCCTTCGAAACTCTGGGACTTGAATCCATATTGTGGTATATCTTCAAGGCGTCCGACGTTTTTATATTTTTTTCATCCCGGGATTTTGATTTTAACTTTCTAGAATATTTATGTTGTATCAAGAGATAAGAGCTGTCCAGAAGGTCTTTGCTTTCCACTGAATCTCCGTCACTTAGATCCTTCTTGTAGTTAAGTTTCAAGGCGCCCAGCTCTTCATCAATTTTCTCATCCACTAATTCTGGTTTTTTAGCATATTTGAACTTGGGAGTGTCTACAGTCCTCAGCCTTTTGACCTGCTTATTACCATCAATCTTGCGTTTGCTAGACAGGAGCTCAGATTCGCTAACGAAGATGGCGCTGTTTGTGATGCTGGCCAGGTCGGACATGCTCTCGTACACATATTTTGGACTTATCAGCTTTTTCTTGGTCAAATCGGTGTCGTTATCGGAGGATTGACCCCTTTTTGGTTTCTTCTTCTTCTGGATCTTTTTGTGGTGCTTGGTTGCAGGATGTAAGAAATCAGAGGTGTCCCAAAGGTCCTTGCTTTCGACCACATGTCCGCCTTTGGAATCCTTCTTGTTGTTTCTCTTCAAGTCGTCCATCGGTTTTCCAGTTTTCTCATCCCCGGATTTTGATTTTGGCTTTCTAGTATATTTGTCCCGAAAGTCCTTACTTTCCTTCGATACCCTGGAACTTGGGTCCTTATTGTCGTTTATCTTCAAGGCGTCCAACGCTTTTTTAATTTTCTCATCACCGGATTTTGATTTTGGCTTTCTACCGTATTTGTGTGGAATTATGAGATCAGAACTATCCCCAAGCTCCTTGCTTTCCATCGAATCACTGAGACTGGGATGTTTCTTGTGGTTTATCTTCAAGCCGCCTAAGTCCTCACTAACTTTCTCATTCACTAATTTTGTTTTTTTTGCATCTTTTGACTTTAGGATATTAGACCTCAAGGCACTGCCTATAGCCCGCAGCCTGTTCAGGTTAAAATTGACCTGATTCCTAGCATCTCTCCTGCGTTTGCTGGACAGAAGCTTAGATTGAGGCTTCGTGATATTAATCGCATTTTCCAGCTCTTCGAACAGATCTAGTTTAGCTGCTTTTCCTTTCGAATGTCGGTTTCTTTTGGAATCCCTGGCGAAAGCCGTACTAACTTTCTGCTCTCCTGGATTGTGGTACGTTAGTTGTTGGAATAGCTGCTGCATTTCTTTGAGCGAAGGTCCCAAGGGATCATTCTCGCTGGGTTTTCGGCTGGACATCCTCCTTCTCTTACGCTTTTTATCTCCATCTAGATTAAACTGAATCCTTTTGCTCATAGGTTCGTTTTCTGCATCTAGTTCGCCGGGATTTAAATGAATCGTTTTGTTTATAGGTTTGTTTTTTCTTATTCTTCGATACCTCAACGGTCGCTTGGGTATTCTGTAGACTGTCCACTCGGGTGGGGGTCCTTGGCTTGGTGCTTGGATTTTCCGAAGCTTTCTCTTCTTACGTAGCACCTCGAATTTCCAGAAACTGCCGAAATTTTGCAGGTCTATATGCAGGCCCAGCGATTTCCGGCGGTAGGACTTTCGTCGCTTTGGGGACTTTCCCCGAATTTCTGCCAGGTATCTGCGCACCTCCTCGGCCTCCTGCGCCCAGATAAGCTTCTGGCCTTCGAAATACTGATGATAGTCCGGCCTCCGTTGCCACCTCTTCACTGCCTTGGCGAGTTTCTCGAGACACCTGTCAACCAGGTGCCTCGGTCTGCGATGTTTTCGCAGACGCTTTCGCAGTAGGCGCAACCGGCTGTTCAATCGCCGCTTCTCCTGCTCCTGTTGCCGAATGAGCTGCCCGTGGTTTTTGATTGCCCTAGTCCAGTTGCCCAGCCAACGCTTGTACATGTGAAGCATACCGCTCACTGACCGCCGTGCCTGCTGCCGTCGCTCCTGTCCAGCGTCTCGCTGTCGCAAGTCAATTAAATGTTGCATTAGCTTAAGCAGCTCCCATCGAATATGGCGCATTATCTCCAGGCGACGCTGGGCGCGTTGCCTACGCCAGCGCACCTCCCGAACCTTCCGCCTGATGAGCTTCTTCAGCACCGCCATCTGAGTGCTGCGATGCAGCAGTGGCAGTTGCATGCTGCAGTGATTTCTGATATATAAATGTGTAAAAAATGAAAAGTTTCATCAATTTAAAGGTTGAATGAATTATATTTAAATGGAAAAAGCTGACAGCTAACTTAGAATTCAATAAATTCATAAAGGTTATACATACTAGGTTAAAGTTGAATAAATTGCTTAAGTCAGCCCAAAAGATGGCCTTTAAAAAATTGTATATATTAATTAAAAATCACCCTATCAAAATTAACAATCAAAAAAATCACCGACCGGTCAAGGGGATTCCATATTTCGGTGCCACTTCTTATCAGTCGTTGTAAAGCACCTGTTGGCTTGGGCTTCCCAGCTGATAAGGCCTCTGTTAAGAGCATATGTAAATCACAGAGGGATTCTAGGGAAAGCACTCGCTTAGAGGAGGTTTGCTATAAAACCCGACTAACAGAGAACCCAGCATCCACAGTCACCAATCAACACTCTTCGATAGCGAAACTAAAAGCAATTTCAAAACCAAAACCAATTCAAAGATGAGCAAACTCACCTTCCTAATTGTGGCCACCATTTGTGTGTATGGAACTCTTACCGAGGCTTTGCCTCAGCGTCGTCTAACTCAGCCACTGCTGGAGTACGCCTCAACCCCCACTCCAACGGCGGAGCATCCAAGACCACGTCGCCAGGTTTTGGGTGGTTCCCTCACCTCGAATCCCAATGGCGGTGCCGATGCCCGCATGGAATTGAGCAAGGCCGTTGGCACGCCGGATCACCATGTGATTGGACAAGTATTTGCCGCGGGCAACACACAAACCAAACCAGTCTCCACTCCAGTAACCAGTGGCGCCACTTTGGGCTACAGCAAGTAAGTGCTAGCTTGAGTATTTTTAGAATTTAGTTAATATTTTTCCCTTGTAGCCATGGCCATGGAATCGAGCTGACCAAGACGCATACACCCGGAGTGCGGGATAGCTTCCAGCAGACGGCCACGGCCAATCTGTTCAACAACGGAGTCCATAATTTAGATGCCAAGGCCTTTGCCTCGCAGAACCAGCTGGCCAATGGCTTTAAGTTTGATCGGAACGGAGCTGGCCTGGACTATTCGCACATGAATGGCCATAGCGCCAGTCTAACGCACAGTAACATTCCCGGCCTGGGCAAGCAGCTGGAGCTGGGAGCAAGGGCCAATCTCTGGCAGTCGCAGGATCGCAACACGCGGCTGGATTTAGGCAGCACGGCCTCCAAATGGACCAGTGGACCCTTTAAGGGGCAGTCGGATCTGGGAGCCAACCTGGGTCTGTCCCACTACTTTGGCTAAGGGGATGGGTCTATTTTTGAATTTATTATTCAATTAACTAAACAAAATTGTAAAGGATAATTAATTAATATTTATATCAATGAAAATAAATATTTTTATTAATAAAAGACAAGACATGCAATTAGCAATTTTAATTTTAAATACAAAATAGAAAGTAGGTAACTTGAAATTACCCACATTAAACAATTAAATTTTTTTAAAAAGCCAACATGTCACTGGTTTGCTGCTCCTCCTCTTCCTTTAAAAGCTCTGCCATCTTTAGATACTTGATTAACTGCGTTGAGGGCTTTCTATTCATTATTTCTTCGCGGACGTCTTCCAGGACCTCATAAAGAAAGATGTCACGCTGTGTATGCACCAAGCTGGCAGCTATTTTAAGTAGGTCGTCAAGATCTTGGACCAGCAGATCAGTGGCCACCAGTTGATCCACCGGCGGCAGACCTCGGTACTGGTGTAGTAACTTCTTCGCAATTTGTATCTTTGGCTTGAATTTAGTGGGATCAAGGAGGTCCATATTCTGGCGGAAGGTCTCAAACAAGACCTCCAATATATTCTGCTGCACTTGTAAATAATTTTCCAGCTCATTAATTTGGCTAAAATTAAATGTGTGTGGATTACCCTGTTGCTGTTCATGATGACGATATAGAGCCTTAGGTAGCTGAATCAGAGTGGTGGGATCATTATATACCGATATTTCATGGCCTGGGAGGGAGAGGAACCCTTCTCCCAGCTCCTTGGCTTGAGGTGTCTGCAATCCATTGCCCAAGACCCCGAAGCTCACCCGATTGTGATCCTTGAAATCGTCGAGCAGTTGAGCCCTACGCTTGGCCGCTACATGTTGCTGCTGCTTCTCCAATGATCTCTTTACCCTCCTAGTCCCCCGGGGAAAGCGGCGAGCTCGGGTTTCCTGATTGTTCATGGTGGGGGCCACCGCCTTGGAATCGGCCTTTAATTTCCACTCGGCACTCTCTTTGACAGGTGACGGCTGTAGTTTGCTAACGGATTTGGTCAAGGCAACACCATGTAAACCTGAATCCTGCTGCAACTTCTGCATCATATCCTTGGACTCCTTATTAATCGCCTTGTTGTGCTGCAAAGCTCTCTGATAATCCTCTCCTTCCAAGGGAGATCTAGCCCATTTGGCGTTCACCTGAGATGGCTCTCCGACAGCTTGTTTAAGCGATGAATCTTGGCCAGACTTGGACAGAGCAACATGGATGGAGTCCCCTAAGCTTGACTCACTTTTGATGTCCAAATCTTTCGGCTTGCGTTTGGTCCTGTCGTAGTCTAGGACATTCGGTCTTTTCCGCTGATCAAAGGAATATAAGCGATCGCACTGGGGCATCCTGTAGTCGAAGCTTTGGGACAAGTCCGCATCCATGGCGGAGCTGTAATCAAAGTTGTCGTTTTGCGGCTCAAGATTTTTAAATCTATAATATTCCTTGCCTTTTACGTAAGTAGGATCAGCCATCTGATTATTCTGCCATTCCTCAAGTTTCCTTCCGCGAGTAATTTCCAAGGACTCGCTGGGCAGCAGGGGACCGAGACCCTTGGCTATCAGGCGAGAGCTGGTCTTTAACCTTACTTCCTCCATTGGATCACAAACACCCGAAGATCTGCGTTGCTTCTGTTCGTAATTATTAATGTCCTGGCTGACGGCTCTTGGGAGCTTCGATAACTTTTCGGAGGCCTCCTGCTCGATTTTGGAGAGCTTGTAGTTGGCCTCGTGGTCCAGCTTGTGCGACTTGGCCTGAGCGGAGGTCTGGTAGTTGGGGCTGCTCTCATAGCCGCCTGCAGGCGACAGGGCATTCCTAGAGTTGAGTAACTCCTGAAGCTGTTCATCGATCTTATCCTTGACCTTAACTCGGTTCTGGTTCTCCTGCTGGCCGACGGTCTGCGGCTTTTGCTTAAGCTTTACATTATCTTGGAAGGCTACGTCTTCCTCCTTGGCTTCTTCGGAAGCCTTCTTAAGCTTGGCCTTGCCCGTCTCGCTGCTCTGTACTGCCTCATGCTGGTCGACAGCTCGCTTATTCTCCTTCTGGTCCGGTGATCGCTTACCGCCAGAGCGCTTTTTGGCTTTGTGAGCCATCCAGTCAAGATACCAGGCATCTGCATCCGCCTGATAACGCCGCATCTCTTCCTTAGACAGCTTATCCATCCAAGATGGCTCCTGCTTAACAATAGTACGCTTTTTATTGGCGTCTCTCTTGGCTATTTGCACCTGGAGACTTTCGTACCAGGCGTCTGCCTCCGCCTGCCAATTCCGACTATCCTTTGATCCTTCTACCGGCGATGGGGCACAGTTGTTCAGCATATTGTCAAGCGCATTGCTTCGTTTCCTTGGCTGTCCCTTCTGGTTGTCGAGTTCATCTTCGAATTGCTTCTGCTTACCTTTCTCCCTCATACGCATTTTGTGTTGGTACCAGGCATCTGCCTCTGCCTGCCAATTCCGTCCATCCTTCGATCCTTCCGCAGGCGATTGGGCAAAGTTGGTCAGCATATGGTTAAGTGCATTGCGTCGTTCTCTTGGCTGTTCCATTTGGCTTTCGAATTCCGGCAGGACGCCGTAGGAGGACCACAGGTCGTGCAATTTGGAACCTGCCTGATCCGCAGCTTGATTAAAGCTTTGCAGCTGCTGGCTGACCTGATTGCCGTTCTGCTGCTGCACGTCCATGGCTCCTAAGGTGGAGCCAGGACTACTGAATACCAACAGAGCCCACAAGAATTGTAAGAAAATCATTTTTTTTACGGAGCTTAGTTATACTTGAAGTTATCAGGCTGAGAATCAGGGAGAGACTGACTTGAAGTGGGATAGTAGGGTACATGTTTACTGACAATAGAAAAACAAGGCTACTTAGATCGGATTTTGTAAAAAATCAACGCTCACTTGGATCATAGGCATTGAAGTTAAATTAGTTATGCAGACCCCTACTTTGCGATAAAAATTACAAAGAAATCGTTAACCTAGAGAAGCGAGGCCCTAATTACAAAAAATTTCTTAGCTCAGACTTACACACAACATTAAATCACCATTTAAGGAATGTTGAAAGAAATATCCACATATGTATATTGCAGGAAAAAGGATGTAACATATTCATCTTTTATTTAAAGTATAAGAAAAAAATCTTAATAAAATCAAAAGACTTAATACGCTCCTTAGATTGCGGTTCGCCATATTACTTCTAGTAATTACTAATATTTATTCAGGACTTCTTCCAGTTTCTTGCTTTAAAGCTCATCATGAACTTCATTCTCCAACAAATCCTCATACTGGTTAATCCTTTTGGTGTAGTCTTCTGCCACAATCCATAGTGAATTCTCTCTCTTCTCACGAACTTTCTGCTCCTCGTCCACCGTCTTTAAAATCATGTCATAAAACTCCTGAATTTGGGGAACCAAAAGATTGCTATCCCGGCGACACTTCTGCTTAGTCATAGTCTCGCAAAAGTCCTCTTCCTCCGTCTCTAGCATCAACGTCTTGTTCCGGACCTCTCGAATTCGCTCTAGCACGGTCAGCACTTGCTCAAACTCCATGTCATTGTGAATTAACTCAAAAACGATATCCGTCAGATTCTCGGGCAGTCTGCCCGACATCACCTTGTGGAACCTGTCGCTTAACTCGATTTTATAAAGCTCGTAGTTCTTCTTGGGGTCTAAATTCATTGAATTTTAATGAGAAGTAGCTCAGTTATTATGGTTACTCTCTTACTCACCATCTAGCATTGCTGGGCACTTCATTGGTTTTTCTTCTTTAAAATTATCGTTGATAGAAGATTCCTCTTGCTGGTCATTTAAGCACATTTGGTTGACATCGCTATTGATGTCGTTGTGGCACCAACCGTCAACCTCCTTCAGCCAGCTCCAGTTTTCTTCATCCACCTCCAGCTTTGATTTCTGGACCATTTTTGAGAAGTCAACGCAGTCGTTGTTATCACTCGGCTGTTGCTCAGCCTCCTTGGTCTCTAGGGCGAACCCAAGACTATAAAAGACCAACAGCGACCACCAGAAATATACGAAAAGCATATTGTTCAGTAGCTCGATTTTCCTGGCAATATCTGAAATGAATCAAGGAAAACCTGACAGGAAACTCGAATGCATTTAGATTTGAGATTATAGATTTCAAAATAAAAATTATTAAACTAAACTAAGTTTTTTTATATTTTTAATATCCAAAATTTTAATTTAAAGAAACTTCAACTAAAATAACAAATAAACTAAACAAAAAAAAAAAATCTAAACACGATCCTTGGCCATCGTTTCGCCTGACTCCTTAAAGAGCTCCGCCGTCTTCAGCAGCTTAATGAAGCGCGGTGAGTACTCTCTGTCCACATGCTGCTCCAAAGCCTCGTCGAGAGTCTGTTGCTTCACCACGTCTTGGAGGCGGGCACTCCGCTTGCGATGTTCTACAGTGTCGGCCATCTTACGTAAGAATTCAAAATCGAGCAGCAACTCATCGTGAGTTTTAGCCGCTGCCAGCTGATCGCCCAGCGGTAGGTCCTCGTACTGCTGCAGCAGCTTCTTGACAGTCCGTGTCTTCTCGCTGATCTTTTCGGGATCCAGGAGACGCACATCCTCGCTGAAGTCTGCGGAGAGGACCCGCAGAGAGCTTTGCCTCTTCTCGCGAACCTTTTGCTCCTCCTCCGCCGTCTTCAGAATCAATTCGTAGAAATCTACAAGATCCGGACGCAGAGGAATGCAGGCCCGACGGCCAACCTGTTGTTCGATGATCTCGCTAATGGCATGCATGGTGTCCCGCACCATGCCCTCCGTCTGGCGCAGGAAGTTCTCGTTCTTGTTGTCCCGGATTTGGTAGAAGTCTTTTGCCTGCTTCGACTTTTGGCGATTCCGTTGCAGCACGGGCACCAGTCGTTCCATTTCAGGATCACAGCCAATTGCCTCGAAGACGGCGTCCACAATGTCCTCGGACAGTTTACCTGACATCAACTTGTCGAAGCTGCTAGGTCGGGCTTCGGATTCCTCTGGCCGGGTTTTGTCGCTGTTAAGAAGTTAACAAAGAATAGCATTTAAATAATAACTTAGCTTAGTATAATGATTACCATTTGGTTGAATTTTTGTTGCCTTTTTCGTGTGATTTTGCTGGTGCCTTCGTGGAAGGCTGTTTGGTGGTGGTGGTGTTCTTCTTTTTTCCTGACACCTTAAAGGAGGGTGCTTTAACGTGGGCATTGAGCCATCTCGGCTTTTTCTCTTCATTCTCGAGTTCCCACTCCTGGCTCGGAATACCTTCGCTGAACACATCAGCGGCGTCTCTGATATGTCGTTCGTCCATCCACGCTTCACCATCGCGAAGTCGGGCATTCTGTGACTGGTAAATGTTTTCGGAATACAACTTCTTAGGTGCTGGCTGTACACTGATGGAGCCATTGCCGGAGAACAGTTTTGTCTTTGGGTCGCCACACACATTGGCATTGATGGCAACGCTCATCTTCACGGCATCCGCACTGGTGCAGGCGTCCCCGATCTCAGTTGATGAAGCTGGAGGTGGCGTTGTGCTGGTGATGACAGGTTCTGGGTTGAACGTGGAGCAGTTCGGCGGAATGACCGTCACAGGTACGCAGTTTGGATCCATGTTCAGCTTTTGCTGCTTGTTGGGGAGGGGTCCAAAGTTCCGATGGACTCCAATGTTTGGAGATTGTGGCACCGGCTGTCGATATTGTAGGTTTGGCTGCTGTACAGGAACGGAAGTTACAGGCAGCTGCGGCTTTTGGAGATCTTTAAAAATGTTGGCGAGATTAAAGCTGGCCTTGAAATGAGAGGGTCTGCCTTGTGGCTGTTGTTGTTGTTGAGGCTGTTGTTGCTGAGGCTGTTGGTGTTGTGGTTGTGGTTGTGGTTGCTGTTGTTGTTGACGTTTCTGTTGCTGCTGTTGCTTTTGCTGCTGCTGTTGATCTTGGTGCTGATGCTGCACTTGCTGTTGCTGAATAAATAGAGGCACCAGATTCTCTGTGGGATCGTAAATATGTGCCAGGGATTCATCATCCTGGCTGGCTTCAAGAGCCATCATTTCATGATCAGGTAAAGACATGGAGTTTCCTCCCTGACCCTCGGCATCAGGTGTCAGCAACCCATTACCCAAGACCCCAAAACTAGCCCGATTGCCATTGTGATCCTCGAAATCATCAAACATATGTGCTTTACGCTTCACACGTTGCTCAGGCTGCTCTTGTTGATTTTCTTTCAAGGATCTCTTAGTTCGAGTCTGCTCGGGAGCAACCATAGCCGGATTGATCAGCAGCTTCCTTGTATCTTTGGTATTACTATTTGTAAAAGGAACCGAGGCCTGAAGATCATGGTTTGGCTTAAGCTTCACCTTTTCTTTAATGGCAGAAGCCTCAGGTTCGCGTAACCTATCTTTCTTAGTCGCAGAATTCTTCTCCAAGTTAATGTCTTCATGGATCATTTTCAACTTCTCTGCATGCTCTTTGGATTTGTCTTTTTTGCCTGAATTGACTTCCCGTTCCAGCTCTGATATATTTAGATTTACACCGTTCTTGGCGAAATTCGCTTCAATATCTCGAATCCAGGCTTTTGTTGACTCCTGCCAAACCTGCATCTCCTCCTCCGTGTCTTCCTTAAAATCCTCGTCCTGCTGCTGACCAAAGTTGGCTAGCATGTCATCGAGGGTGGTAAAATGATTATACTGCTCACGCAGACTTTCAAATGATGATCGAAGGTCCTGCAATTCAGGGGAAGCCTTCTCCACAGCTAGGTAGAAGTTGCTTAGCATATCCACTTCATTCTCGGGGGTGCCATCTTTATGAACAGGATCCAAGGTCTTTAAGGTAGAAGAAATACTAATGGGCACCAACACTGCCCACCAGAAAGGTAGTAAGAGTCTCATTTTGTTGTAGAGCTCAAAATTTTTTTGGATTTAAAGAAATTGTACTTGGAAAATTGAATTAAAAGTCAGTTATAACTTTATGCTGTCTAGATTTCAAATAAGTAAAGTCATAAAAAGCAAGTAATAATATTCTTAAATTATTATTTCAATAAAGAGCAGCTTCTGGAATGGTTAAGGTAATGGAGCCTTCCATTTGCTGGCTGGCAACAGGTGTCTGCCGCACAACTTTGACAACGTGGCCCGATAAGAGTCGCAATGTCACCAGAGCGCCACCTCCTGGAACGGGAATCCCCCTTTTTCAGCCCCCGAAGGGAACTCCTGCTGCATTGTGTCAAGTTTTTGCACACGTACGACGACTGCGCCGGCGGCTTCCGACAGCTGTTTAACATGAAATGTCCTTTGTTGGCCGCCCACATGGGTAAATGATTTGCAAGAGCAGCACCAGTCCTGGTCCCACACCCCTTACCAGTATTGTTTTCCCGCCCATGTAAATCAGATTTTTGTTTTACAGCAAACGAAAACTTTTACCAGCAGAGAGAGGGAGAAAGAAGGAAAAGCGGTTGGGGAAATGGAAATGGAATGGGGATGCGCAGCGACAATAACATTTCCTATTTCCTTCTGTCTGTCCCTGTGTGTGTGCGTTATCCTGCACGTTGTCAATGCCAAAGTCAGCACAATGCGCCGCTCGAAATAATTGAAAATAATCAAACATTCTGTGGAAGCAGCAACTGCAGCATCCAGGAGCAACCAGAGGCATAGAGCACTGCCAGCACCCACCAGGAACACCGAACAAAACTAATGTAATTAGCGGGCTCAGAACGCATTCGCTTTTGATTAAAAGTTTTGGCCGCGATAATCCGCTGAGCAACACACTGAACCGACACTATGAATAAACGCATTGAGCATTGTTTGGGGTTGAAAATCCCTAGAGGAGGAAGTGGGCCTAGGGAATCGTATATAAATTGTATATAAATTGAAGTGAAGATGATTTTTTTAATTGAATATTCTCTGGGAGTTATTGAAATAGCTTCAAGAATTTTAGTTTATTGTCTTTCATAGGCCTTTGTTTAAACAAAAACTGGTAACTTCATTTGTGAGTCGGTAACTTTAATTATAGAAGTTATGTAATAAAATTGGATTGGTTCTAGGGTTAGTTTGTCCAAAAACTAATTAAACAAGTTAACAAAGGCAAATTTGTGGCTAAAAGATATCTGAGTTTACACTACTATTGGCAAGCCTTTAAAAATATATTTATTTTTATTAATTCTGATAGTGTATTTTACACATTCACTCCCCAAATAAATACTATTTAATATAATTAATTTAATTAATTGCCATTAATGCCTCAGAAAATGAATTGTCACTTGTTTGGCAACTCATAAATTTCTGATATATGCTTAATAAACCTTATTTATTAAACCTCTATTTACATACGTCAAAATAACTTTTTGTTTAAAACAAGTTATAGTACAAATCACGTAGCCTCTTAAAAATCGTAATAGGATAATTTCAATATAAATCGCCGCAAATTCTCGCCGCAGATTAGCTTATAGTTCAGCCGCCAAAGAATGTCGAATTTATCTCATCGAACGCCGCTGGCCAATAAACAATATTGCGATAATTTTGCGGCATTGCGATGTAATTAAATTACTTAGCCAGTCGCAGTGGCAGGACAAACTGCGCAAATCCTTTCAACAGGCCCGCCAAGTACCCATGTCAGCGCTGTGTGCCCGGGGACATACATCCATACATATTTCCATAAAGCCACCGCAACAGCCACCGCTGTCAATATGCGGATTAACGCATCAATTACACGGACACCAGGACACCAAGAGCAGGAGCAGAGGGAGCAGGGGATACTGGGATACAGGACACAGGCCGCGAGGCAGGCTAGCTGTTGCTTGCAGCGACAAAAATTTCATTTCGTCGGGTAATTTAATTAATTGCAGAATTTCACAATCAGGCCGAAGCTGCCAGCCAGCCAGCCGGTCTGCCTGGTAAAAACAATTTGAATTCCAAACCAGCGCTCAGCTCCGTCCGGCACAACGCGGCGGTAATCGTCATAATCCCCAATTCTAGTCATCGCCATTCGCATTTATGATGTGGATGAAGTGAGAACTCAGCCATTGCCCGGACGGACACTGGGCAACTAAATTAATTCGATAATTGACTTCCATTTCTCCCCCCAAACCCAGCGCTCCAAATCATTGTCATCCCTTCCGGGTCTCCGGCTCTCATGGCTACCGCCCTTCCTTGGATCCATGGATCCTCGGATGCTGCTCGTTCACTTTTTTATGGGCGGCGCACACAGAAAACATAAAAACGTCTGTTGCGTGTTGCATATGGAAAATTGCCAAAAGTTGGACCCAGAAAAAAAAAGAAAGAAATGCGAGCCGAAGGAAAGAAGTCGCAAGAGGAAATGTTGCAAAGTAGTAAAGGCCAGGCTAATGGCAGTGGCATGACAGCCGGAAAAGGAGTGCCAGACGGACAAGAAAACATGTACCGAGAAGAGGGAAAGCAAAAGCCAGAATCAAGGAGCTGCTGCCAACAGGCAGTGGCACAGGCCAGACCCGGACAGGACAGGAAGTTTTTATAGTTGTGCAAGTGCATGTGATTGCTTTATGAGCGCCAGATGAAGTTGCCGGCACGTCCGCGCTCCGGCTGTCATTTAGTTAATTATAAGCAATTAGCAGCGGATGTTGCCAGCGGGAATTAAATATTAAGCGCCTAAATGCATCTATTGCATATTATTGGTCACGAGCGGGACATTTTGTCAGCTAAAAGAAGAGTTTGCCAGCCTCAAGGAGTTACTGCTCAAATAGTTAGGAATTCAGGTATAAAAAGAAAGGAAGCTTTATATTCCTGTAGATTGTAGTTGGATTTAAAATTAAAATATCCTGCAAGGTTAAAAAAGAGGTTTGTTGCTTAGGAACAAAAAATAATACGTATACGCAATATTAAGTATACGCACATGGGCTTTAGAAATTCTATTAAAAATGTTGACAGTTAAAATAATTATTAAATGGCCTCTTTAATTTAAAGATTTTATTTAGCTTAAACAATTTAATTTATACAAATTAATTTATATTAAGTCTCAAATCTTAAATTAAAGACTGCAATAATACACTCCATAAATCAAGTTAAATTGAAATCGTTCCCTTCGACACTAATTAAAGATCAACAATCAGTGAATTGCGAAAAAGTTAAAATGAGAGTAAGCCATCACCCCCACAACCCCAAACCGATCCACCATCTCTGCATCTCTCGGCTGCTACTGCCTGGTAATAAAATAAACCATTTTACTGTTGTTGACTCATTTGAGAATTGTCTGTCTGCCTGCGTATGGGAATCGAGAAGGCGAGAGGGAGTGCCACCGCCAGATCCGGCAAAAGGTAACACGGTGGAACTGAAGACAGACAAACTGGTGGAAAGAAAGCAAGAGTCAGTGTCGGTGGCATTAATTTGTGCTATTGCCCGGAGCGAAACGAGGATTGGAGTTGGAGGCTGAAACGCAGGCCCCAAACTCTCTCAAGGTAACGCGTAAGCAGATGAAGACAGTGTTGATGATGATGCCGGAATACGGCAGCCACCTTCTGCCTTTTGGAACCTGCAAGTTGGCAGGCAACCGACGAAGCAGCAGCGTTTGCGGCCATGATAAAAGTTGCATGAGCTTGCACTGGGTATTTTATGTTTTCCACCGCCGCCGCCTGTTGCCTTGGTAGCTATACACTAGAAAAAAATATATATCTACTTATTTATATTTACAAAAAGTGCAAAGACAACTGATTTTATGATTTAGGAACGCTGATATCACAACTTAAAATGAAAAAAATAGATTTGTTGTCGACAAATAAAAGCTGGAAAGTAATTTAAGCTTATAATTTAGACGATAAATATAGATATAAGGAAATCGAAAAGGACACAATCACATCATAGATCAATATTACAACTAAACTGTAATAACATTTTATAAATTATCGAATTAATGTATTATTTATTATTAATATTGTCAATAGTCAAACTCTATGAATACCTTTTCCCCTATTTTATTTATTTTTCCCACTGCATAGCCCTTTTCCGCAGCGAATAGTAAAGGCAGTGGAGTGGGGAAAGCTTCGGTCTTTGGCCAGTCAGACGCGTTCCCAAGTTGCAGTCAAATTTTCATTTTTCCACTCACGTATTTCGATTAAATTCTCATTTTGGTCATAATTTTCCAGTTTTTACGTTGGCCTCGGCATTAAATTGCAACTCGGCTCTCTCTGGGACGGATGTGCGCCTCCACTTGCTTCTAGAGTAAGGGTCTTCCACTTCCTTTTCCTACTTTACGGGCATTGCGTATCGAAGGCATCAAGTTCTCTGTCGGCGAATACATTTAGGAAATTAAAAGTTTTCCAGGCTGGGCGAGTATACGAACATATCTATTGGTATGTACAATTGTTGTGCTCACTGTGGCCCCTTCCATAAATCAATTTGCAGCGCACAAGTTTTATTATGGCTGCATAAATCCGTTAACAAAGCCCGGCCACCTGATGCCAGCTGTGCTGCCATACATCTATGAGTGTGTGTTGCGTGTATGTGTTGGCTTGGCCGGGCTAATTTGGCGGCACGCACACTTGGCTTATTCCCAATGAGCATTGAGCGCTGTCAGTGGCATAAGCGACAGTTGGCTTAGTTGCTAGAGAGCACAACTTTTTGCGCGTAATAAATTGATAAATAGTCCAGTGTGTGTGTCAGCGTACGTGTGTGGGTGTGTGTGTGGAATTGTGGCCTCGTGCAGCTGCCAAGTATGCAACAGTTTTCGATTGCCCCTCGCTGGCAAAGGCGGGCTGCAAACCGTTGCATATCCTCCGGCTGAGAATAGAATTGAAATATGGCAGAGAATTCCCGAGGCTGAAGGGGATTTGGATTAGCATCAATTTGGCTTCAACTTTGCAGATTCCTGGCGTTCAAATCCCAAGAAATGTAGGAATGGCATATGCAGTCATGTTCTAAATTCGACTAAAGTTTATTTAGTTTTAGTTTTAAGGGGAAATTCATAAAAAATTGAACAAATTGTATTTATATATTCAATTAATTTAATAATTGCAACCTAGTAAACCTACAACCTTTGTTTTCATAACTTATTTAATGGTTTTCCTTACAAAAGTAGTAAAATCTCTTAAGCTCAAGTCCAAGAACCAACCATCCAGCCAAAAGCAAAGTCCAAACCCCCTCTGTGTAATGGATATTTCTAATCCTGGCCAAGACGGAGCTTCATCAAACAGCGTAGTCAATCAAAAGTAAACATTTCCAGCTACCAAACTCCAGAACGAACTTAACCATTTCAGTATAATTCACGCGAACTCATCCGTCTGTTGTTTTTCGATTATGTCGCATTGTCTTGGCTTAAAGTTTTTCGGGCCCAGCAGAGAGTACAAGCTATCCAGCAACTCGGGATGTTGCCTGGAAATATTACAGCGATTCCTACTTATGCCTCAATTCGTTTGCCTTGTCACGGCGACTGCACAAGACGAGAGCCCGAGAGAGGGCGACCAACCGACATGACAAAGAGGGCGAAAAAAAGGACACCCAAGCGCATCCTTGGACTCGTGCATCACAAAACATGACATGGCAATGGCACGAGCCATTCCGTTTGTTTGTTCTATTCCCATTTTACAGCTGCCCGCCCGACCATCCGTCCATTCGTCCATCCGCTGGCCAAACAAATTTTTCTCTGTTTTTCACTCGCCGATCCCTGAGTAAAATATTATGTTACATCGGCGACAAAGAAAGCGGAAACTTTGCTCCTTTGTTAATGCTAAAGGCTCTTGGCTAAAAACGAAATGAAATGACATGAAAGGGGGCGCTAAAAGCGTATTTAAAATGCCGTTTCTATAAACAAATTTGCATTTGCTGGTTATGCATATGCAGCAGCAGTAGCCGCACGCTGCCACACAAGCAATTCATTAAGTATACGCCACCGCCACTGCCGACAAATAGAAAATTACTGACAAAATGCTGGCCGACAGTTTACGAGCCGCAGACACTGCTGAACGTCGAATGGCAGGAGCGCATATTTACAACTTTCAAATGCTTCATTTTATTGGTCTCGAAATGAACAAATGGCGCACAAGCCACATAGACACTGCTGGCTGGGGGGGGGAGAAAAAATTTTGCATAATTTATGTGGAAGCAAGGACTCGCCGCTGGATTCGAAGGAAAACAACGCACGAGCAGCACGGCCAACTGATTTAAATGCAATTGCACTGAAGTATGTTGTCCGGGGGATAAAGAACGGAACCGGGCGAAGCTGGGACTGAGGTGGGCGCACCGGTAGATATAGAGACATCTGCACGTGCAACCGGAAACATCCGGAGACCAGGGCCTTCGCCGGGCAATTTCTTTTCATTTGCCAAGGTGTTGAGATGCACCGACGTGGCCAAAAGCCAGCAGCCAGTAGTAGCAGCCATAGCCTGGTCACAAGTGTCGTCTATTTGTCGCCGGTAGCCGGGAGTCCGGGGTATCCTGGGGGAGGCAGGAATGCCAAGACAAACAACCGACAAATTTAGTGTATTTTGTGCATTTTTAAAATTGTCTAAATTTATGTGACACGCTGCGCCAATTGATCAGATTAAATAAACATGAGAGCCGAAAACGAAACGAATTTGGTTGGACCCGTGCCTGTGGCTCCAGGTCAAAGACAATGCATGTGGACAATTGGTATTCAAATGGGTGGCGCATTGAGACAGGGGAATACAGTGAGCTCGGGCTAAGGTTGATAACTGGTTTAAGTATGAAAATAGTTTAAAATGAAATAAAAGTGGTCTAGCTTTTGTATTTAATAAGTATATTAAAGTCGTTTATAAATTTAAATTAAATCTATAAAAATTCACTTAAAAAGGCATTCACTGCCCTTGTCATTCAAAGAAATTGAAGACTTCAAGAAGACAGTTTACTCCTGTCTTAAGCCATATCCTCAAGCTGCAACTATTTGGTGTCTAACAGAGTTTGTCAGTTTTATTCAAATGGAAGAAGAAACCACAAACGTGTTGACAAAACACAACACGTGCGAGTCACATTCATATTCTATAACTTATTCCATTTATCAAAAGCCTTGCATATTGTTATTAAATACTATCACATCAAACAAGTTATTACAGCTCTTCCAAATAAACAATTATTTATTCAAAGAGCTTTCAGATTATACTATATTATGTGGATAGGTTCAATCGTTTTTCAGAAATTCCCGATCGCACTTCCATTTCTGATCTGAGATTGTGGCGGCGCTCGGGAAATTCTGAGCGCTCGCCATAAACAAGATCAGCCAGATGCTAATTTAACTAGTTGTAGTTGCCGGGCTATAAATACCGGATTGCAGTTTAAAATTCAATCAGTTGAACCCGAGCTGTGCAACTGAACATAATGAAATCTCTGGGATTAATTGCGCTGGCTGCCTGCGCTGTCCTCGGCGGTGTCGGTGAGGATAAGGAATAAGAGATAATTGTTAATGGTATTTTTTAATATACATTATCCTGGCAGCTGCGGAGCCGCAACAGACCTATGATGGCCGCAATGGGCCGCATGTCTTTGGTACGCCCGGCAACCAGGTTTACATAAGAGGACAAAATGAAGGCACCTACAGTGTGCCCGGAGTGGGTGGCCAGTTCCAGAATTCACCGTCGCAGGGAGCACATGTCTACACCGATGAGCAGGGCAACACCTTTGTGCACCGCAAGAATCCAGGAGGTCCAGGTAAAGTCGAGTTTGAGTTAATACTTTTTAATCAAATAATAAAAGTTATTTATATCTTCAGCTACTCATACGATAAGTGGCCCCACCTTGTCGGCCCAGAATTTGGGCCCCAGCCGTCTGGATGGAGGTCTGGATGCTGGAGGGCCTCCAAGCGCCCGTCGCAGTCGGCAAATCCACATTGCCCGTCCTGATCGTACCGTAGATATTGGCTATGGCGGTGTCTATGTTCAACGGAGTCGTCGAAGCCCCCAGTTCCATGTGGAGCGTCCCGATCGTTCTGTGGACTTTGGTAATAGCGGCTTCAATGTCCAACGCAGTCGCCGTAGTCCTCAACAGGAAAATGAAAGTTTTCCATTCTTTATTCGACGCCGTCGTAGTCCTCAGCAGGAAAATGAAAGTTTTCCGTTCCTTATTCGACGCCGTCGTGATCCCCAGGAGGAGAATGAAGGTATCCCCATAATTATTCGACGCCGTCGTAGTCCTCAGGAGGAGAATGAAGGTATTCCCATAATTATTCGACGCCGTCGTAGTCCTCAGGAGGAGAATGAAGGTATCCCCATAATTATTCGGCGCCGTCGTGATCCTCAGGAGGAGAATGAAGGTATCCCCTTAATTATTCGACGCCGTCGCGGTATCAACGATGCCCGCGTTCAGGGCGAGAACTTTGTGGCCCGCGGTGATCAGGCTGGTGTGTGGAATAATAATGTTTCCGTTTGGAAGCGTCCAGATGGACGCACAGTTACATTGGACCAAAATGGAAACGCCATTGTCTCTGGTCGACGCGGTACCCAGCGTGTGAGTAAACTTTGAGCTTCAGCTAGCAACAATAAACTAATAAATTCCTTTTTGCAGTTCTCCTAAACCTTGCTCCAAGAAAGGAGAAATTTGCATAGTTTAAGGAAAACAACTTGTATATATTTTGTACAATAATAGATACTTAAATCACATGATATCTAAATACAAAAATTTCACAAAACAACTAGAAAAAAAGACAGTAATTTAGGTTAAATAGTTAACAAGGTGTATTAGCTCATCTAAACAAAGCACGAGTGACCAGAGCACTGAGTTAGATTCTTCAGTCGCAGTGAATACAAAGCCCGTTCAATTGGCAGGAGATCGTAGGCAATGTTGGTCATCTGGTGGGGATCCAACTGCAGATCATAGGCCTCCAAAAAGTTCTGAATTAAAAATGCTAAACATTAGCTAATATAATTTCATAAAAAAAGCTTCCACCTCACCTCATAATCACGAAACTCGCAGTAAATGCGATCGTCCCTTTGTCGAACACTTCGTATGCAAGCATACGTGTTATTCCAGGCATCCTGGCAATGGCAATCCGCATCCAAGGTGCATTGCGCCAAGTTATCCCATTCCGACCAGGGACACTCGGGATTGTAGGTGTTGCGATTGCCCTCGCCCCAGTACTCTATGAGCAGGGACCGCGGGAAAGATCCAGCGGGAACTCCATCGGAGTCGGTGGACAAAAGCTCGTGAAACGACTGCCCATCCATGTAGGCGGGTGTACTGACATTGGCCCAGGCCAGTAAGGTGGGCGCCAAGTCCACCAAACTGACGGCTGTGTGGATATGGCTCTCTGGTGCTATGCCCGGTCCCCGAATTAACAATGGTATGCGAATATCCGTTTCGTACGGCTGACGCTTGTCGAACGGCTGTGCAAATTGTCCCAAATGATAGCCATTATCCGAGGTGTACACTATGTAGGTGTCATCGAGGGATTGCGACTCATTAAGAACGGCCACCAGAGTGGCCACCATCTCATCCACGGCCAGCAGAGTTTCCCACCGCATCCGGAAGTACGAGTCTATGGTGCTGATGGTCTCGTTGGGCAGCAGCCGCGAAGAACGAACCAACCAGTGCTTATCTGTGTACAAGAACTCTTAATTATTAAAGCTAAGGTTAAGTTTGATGAGACCCTACCCTCCTTGGGATGATTAAAGCTGGGCGTTCGCACGGCTTTCTTTTTAGAAAATACGCCCTCGTGCCGGGGAGCTGGCGTAAAGGGCTGATGTGCCGCCGGCGGAGCCACCATTGCAAAGAAGGGCTGTTGATCCCCTGATCCCTTTTGTTGGATGGCTCTCTTTAGGAAATCAGCGGTACGATTGCTCAGCAAATCAGTCAGGTACGTTGCCCCGTAGTGGACATTCTCGGCATTCTCGCGAAGCGTGTAATTGTAGTAGCGGGAGTTTCCGTGAAGACCATGGAACTCGTTCCAGCCCGGCGGCACCTCCTGCCCCTTATAATCGTTCATGTACTTCCCCGCATAGAAGGTATTGTATCCATGATGCTGCAGAATGGCCGGCAGAGCCCGTGGCTCTAGAACCCGACGCCAATGGGTTCCGTAGCAGCCGCCGCTCACCGAGTTGTTGCGGGTTCCATGGTTGTGGGCATACATCCCGCTCAGCAAGCTGGCCCGCGCCGGACAGCAAACTGGCGTGGGCGTGAAAGCGTTGTGGAACAAGGCGCCCGCAAGACCCAATAGCTGAACTGTGTCCTCCATGGGAAACATGCCTCGGAGCTCCACATCTTGATCGTCTGTTAGTATGAGTAAAATGTTAGGTAACTTATCGCCGGCGACCAATAAGGCCAGGATGCAGGGCACCAGGAGGAGGCTTAAACCGATCTAAGGGGATTATAAGGTGAGAAATGAGATTTAACGGGAAAGAGAAGAGTCAAGGTGCTTACCATGGAGCCCGGAAGTGTTTTTATCACCTTTGTTTACTATTTGTGCGAAAACAAAACCCGGCTTAGGCGGGCAGTGTTGGAAAAGCTTCGTGGCTATACAGCTGGGGCGGTTATCGATATATCGATAAAGGTTGATTGTCGTTAACTTCCATTTTTTGTTTATCTTAGCTATTTATTTTATGTTGAGCATTATTTTTTACCCATTTACAAATTTTGTTTCACTTAGTTAAAATATTAAACGAATTCAAAATAAAATGTTCCAATTGAAGTTTATCGTTTCAACACCGGATGTCTATCGTTTAGCTGTCAAACCGCGGCGCGTAGATCCAATTTGAAATGTATTTCCGCCTGGAAAATCCCAAAACCAAACTCGCTTGATTTTAAATATTTTACAATTATTTTGACCTTACGCGCGCCCCTTCCAGTAAACCTCTAAACCACACCCACATACGAGAAATATGATTTATTTTCTATGAATATCAGTGATTCGGTGACCGAAAAATACAGAATCTTTGCCGACATCAATATGTTTTTATGTTTTCTTGAAATTCAAAATAATGTAATGCATATATATGTAGGTACAAATGTTTACAGTTTACTTAGAGATAGATTGTTTTTTGTTTATTAAAAAAGAATGCAAGTCTGTATCCGTATCACAAAGCAGCGCCAAGGACAAGGACAGATACGAAAGACTGAACAAATTCTAGCCTCTTTATAATGCCTTTTCAGTGTTTCTTTTTCGCGAACTTACAAAATAAATAACAGCAAAGATAGATAAACGTACAATATATGTTGATTGTGTGGATTCTACGACATGATTTTTTTTTTTGATAGAGTACTGCAAGTGTAAGACACATAGATAATAAATGTAGGGTGTTCTGTGAGTTTATTTTTGGCCTACCAGAAGTGTGTTTCCGGGTGCTCTGATTTGTAAGTATGTTCTAAAATCATTTGAATCAGGGAACCAGGATTCTCCTATTTACATGTGTATGTGCACCATGGGGCCAGCGAGATCCGTGCCCTCTCCAGACTAATTGCCCTCGGGCTTTGGCAGATTCGTATCATAGGCTCGTATAATGATGGACTGCGGCACAGCTCCGCCCTCCTCCTGGGAAAATGCATAGCCATCTGGGGGAAGGTAGATTTATGGGTTTAGTTAGAATCAGGGGAATTAAAATCAGAACAATCGTTATGTTCAGTGTGTGTGGAAACTGTAATGTGTGAATGTTGTTCCTGTTGTGTGTGTTCGCTCTAGCGATTCCCCGTTCCCGATCCTTCTAGGGTCCTACCACTATTACATTTTCGGGCGTTTTCTGGAACACTAGATGGTACTCACGCGATAGCTCTAGCTCCGTTTCGACTCTCGTGTTGGCACGACGGGTAAAGACACTGCGTAGCAGCCGGGCCGTTTCCGTTAATCTGTTGGGTTAATTTTTGAGCGGGGCGGATATGGTTTTAGTAAAGAGGGTTTCAATTTCGCTTTGAGCTTATCATATTAGTCGGGGTATTTTCTTTCTTTCCATTTTGAATTGTTAGCACTTTACACAATAAGAGTTACGGGTGTTACACAGCCAGAGGTCAATCCGAATGCTACGGAAGGCAGCTGTTCGGGTCGGGACATAGGGGGAGCATACATATGTACGAATATAATCAAATTAGGATGAGCAACGAGGTGTAGACCAAATTGAAGGGGCATGCAGAATATATAGTATGGAATAAATGGAGAGAGAGCCTACATCATACTGTAAAGATTGGCAAATAAAACGAATACGAGATGCGGTTCTTACAACGAATCTTTGACGCTACATACAAAAAGGTAAATCATAAGTCCGTACAATATTATATATAAAGAGTGTTGGAGGTTCTTCCCTTTTCTAGGCCTATTATATCCCCATTATCCCCTCTAATATAACCCTGTGACAATGGTGACATAGTGGATGTGGTTGTGGGTGTGGGTGTGGTGTGGTGTTTGGTGTGTTGGTATGATTTTTGCAGCTTCTACGATTTTACTTACACCGAATAATCGATCCCAAGGCATACATGGTACTGCGCTCACCGAAAATTTAACGCAGAAAACAACGGTGTTCAGAGAAATTTCAAAGAAACATTTTTTTCAGAATTTTGCTGTTGACTCTTGACTTTTTATTAAATTATATATTGATTAGTTATTTGTTGAGTGTGTTATTTTGGGTACTGCGAGTTGGTTTTAGGTGTTGGGTGTTGGGTGTGTGTGATTGGTTAAGTCGCTTTGTTGGGTGTCCAGTAATACGTAATACAGAAAATAAAGAGTAATATACATAGAACATAAGTGCAGAGCGGATCGGATCGGATCAGATCAGATTAGCAGCCATAGTTATAGTTAGTATAGATATAGTATATATATATCATTGGCCGATTTCAAATTGCATGCGAGCTGTGGTGGACGGTGCGGGATACATATGTATACATATATTCAAAACTGATACATACATATCATCGGGGTAAGTACCATCATCACATTCCAATAACGTTGGGATGAATATGTATATCGGTTGGTTAAGGATACTAAACATTCGTGACTGGGAACACTCCCCCCCGAAGGGGGGGTTCGTTAACTCTCTTTTACAACCTGGCAAGTCTCTTTAAAGTTTAACGTAGTTAAGGTACAATCATAATAATTATATGTTATATGGGAATGATATGCATTCCCTGATTAATTGGCCTATCCTACCGTGTCTATCCTACGGCTCTGGCTTCTTAGACACTATCACAGTTGGCAAATAGAAGTTGTAGGCGATGTAAAAATAGTTTAAGCATATACACATGAATCTAGGTCTGCACGTGGCGATATGATTTCAACAGTTCTTAGCAGCTACTCTCGATGATGCGCGGGCAAAGCGGGCAATAGTCTCCCGCTCCACATGCTCATTACAATAAAATATATGTATATATAATGCTCACTTATCAGATATCAGGTTTTAAACACTAAGGAAAAATAATTTGATTTTCCATGGCCTTTGCTCACATATGGAGTGTGGCCTGGTTGGGCGAGGAGGCCCTCCTGACCCTGGTCAAATATCGGTCCTCCACTTGGGGCCACATACCGCCCCGCCACTTTTGGCGCTGCCTTGTCCGCTGCTGCTCCTCGGTGTCCATCTCCAGCTCCAGATTCACCACCCTCAGATTCGTTTCCTCAACGGGGCGAGCCAGTTGGCTGACCTTCTTGCGGAGCTGCCGCGGACTGATCAGAGCCTTGTTGGAATTTAATAGCTTGCCGAAGGTATATCCGTAACCAGAATCACTATTGGCGTGCGGGCGGGGATGGTGAATGGTTTTATGGTTGGTTTTGGGTGGATGCATGTATGGATGGATGGTTAGGAATTGAGAGGGCCAACATAGCCGTTGGTTTGGATTGATGCGGGATAGAGGAAGACAGAGAGATTACATTTTAGGGATATCAGTTCATAAGATACTTGCTCAAGGGTGATGCGATCGAACATTGAATAAGAGTCCATAGTAATGTTTATATAACTGATTCTGATTGATGTTGGCTTTGTCTTAAGTCAATAAAATTGTGTTTGTTTGTTGCTTTTTTAGATTAAATGACAACAGCTAAGGAAAAATACCTTCACTTACAGCCAATTGAGTTTCAAATTTAAATTTTAATTGCATTCAAAATTGCTCAACGAGGTCTACAAAATGCGTATCAAACACTAAGAGTAAATATATATTAAGGTCTAGAGTACAATTTCAACTTGTAGTTTAACAATAGCTATAACTAAAGCTAAGTGTGCATATATGGTTTTGATATGTTTCAGAAGAAGAAATAGTGTTTCACAGCAACAACTTAACCTAAGGTCTAATTCTAGAAATATTTACACACTTATTGGATAGTTTTCATTGTTTTTAATACTTATATTTACGTAGTCTGTATCCCTATTCTTGGGTTAACATTTGTTGTTCCGTTCTTATCTTGGGAAAAGCTAAGGGTTCGAGCAATTTTCGGTGGCCAATATTCAAAAGGGGAGACACTAAACATACATTGAAAGTTGAACAAACACAATTCGAGGAGGATGTGGCAGTGCAATTACGGAATGAACTGGAACAGGATTAAGTTAATGCTTATGTATGTATAGTAGATGACCCAAAAACGAACGCTAGTTATAAATAAAAACTAAGGTGTAGGTTCTACTGGTGCAACTACTACAAAAAGCAGGATACTGTGGGCAGGCACATATGTTCAATCAGCCTTGGTTGGGTTTCGGTTTTAGGGTAACGGATTTCGGATTGGTAGAAGCAAAGACCATATAATAACAAGATGAGTAACGTCAGAGAGAGAAAGTACTTGATCTATGTTCTAATTTAAGATATTTAAGCTCTCAAGTTTCTTTTCTCTCATTTCGATTGCAATTTAAAGTTTTAGGCGTTATGCATCTTGTTATTAAAGTGTCTCTGTTAGAAGTATCTTAGGGCTCTACATAGTTTAGATTTTAACAAATGCGCAACAATTCAAATTGAAAGTATAGTTTGGATTTGTTGTTTTTCTTTTCTTGGACAAAACTAAATACTTATGGAGTTATGTATGTATGAGGCCGACCAGAGGCCCAAGGGATAAAAGCGTGGCATTGTGGCTTTGACTTCCGATACTTACGAAGATCGCGGCTCATTCATCACTTCGGAGATGTCGCTGCGTCGGATCTCCGTCTCGCGAACAGCCTCCGTTAGTGTCTTGAAAACGGTGTTGTGCACCCTGGCAATACAATCAAATTGGATTATAGTTCTCCTTACTTCTTTTTAACCTAGATAACTTACAATTTACAGATTACATCCACCAAGAGCGTGGTGATGGGCACTAGCAGTAGACCAAAGTAAAATATGGGCGTCGACAGCAGCTGAATATCCATGCCCCGGAAATTGCTGGCAAACTTAAACGTGGGCCAGACATGGCTGTAGATCAGCAGGAAGGTGAACCAGAGAACTATGGAGCCCCAGATGGCCAGGTGCGTTAGCCAGGTCCAAGAGTTGGTGATGAGACCGGCCTTCAGGCACACTGTCACCACAACATACTGGAAATAAATATTAAAAAGTAAAGTTAATATAATCCAGATTCTTGTGACACCTTTTAAGAGCCTCACCGTGTATACTAGATTGCCCAGCAACAGGTAGTCGCTGGTCTTGCCATCCTTCCAGATCACCTCGCTTGTGTAGGCGGCCATTGGCAGCCAGAAGAGAAACACCGAGTGCAGCAGGGCATTGAATATCCAAATCCAAAAGACCTTCACATTGAAGAGCTTGGCATTCTGCGAGGTCTTGTACAGCATTGGATAGCGCAGCATTGTCTCCGCCGTGCAGAATTTCTCAAACAAACCCATTGCAAACGGCGGCATGGCCGTAAAGAGCACATTGTACAGACCAATGGTCCAGCGCTCGAACAGAATCTGGCCCGACCAGCCCGAATAGACAGCGAACCACAGCTCTATCACGTACAGGCACACATTCTTGTAGAAGCTGTAAAGGATCAGCTTGGAGATCCTCGCATAGTTCCAGGCACCGTGCACCAAGAGCAGGCGCTGCAGATACCGGAACTGGGCAATGGAGTAGTCAGAGGCGCATGCTGCCTGGAGACCTTCCACTCCCGAAATGCCTATGCCCACATTTGCCTTCTGAATCATGGCCACATCGTTGGCGCCATCGCCAATGGCCAAGGTCACTGCCTTAGTGCTTTGCGTGACCATCTCAACCACCTCCGCCTTCTGCATTGGGGAGACGCGGCAGCAGACCACCACGCGGCACAGTAGGCACAGATCCTGGAAATCGTTGCGCAAATCGCAGCTCAGAGCGTACTTCAAAGTGGTGCCATCAATGACCAAAGCCACATTGGCATCCTTGGCCGTGGAGCTCTTGAACTCTCCGTAATGTCGATGGATGACTTCGCGGGTGGCCTGCAAATAAAAGACATATTCAAACATATTTTGAAAAAATTAAAAGCTTTTCACTTACATCTAAACTCTCCTCGTTGAGGATTAGGATGTCCATGGAGTGACTGATCAGACGGCAGGAGTAGCCAATGTTAATGGCCGTCTCCTGCTTGTCCCCGGTGAGCACCCAAATGAAAATGCCGGCATCTAGGAGCGCGGCTATGGTCTCCGGCACGCCATCCTGCAACCGATCTTCAATGGCTGTGGCGCCCAGCAGACGTAGATTGATCTCAATCAGATTGGCCGCATCTTCCAGTTTGCTTTCGCGATTCTGCAATGATGTCGAGGCCCTGTGATTAGTCTCGCGCCACTCCTCATAGACATCCGGCCGAATGTCGGCCACCGCCAGGCAGAGCGTCCTCAGGCCATCCGAAGCGAACTCCTCGAGATGGCGCAGTGTCTCCTCCCGGAACGCCTGACCCTGAGGTGCCAGCCGCTCGTATATCACGGTATCTGCTCCCTTGCAGAACAGCTTGATCTTGCCCTCGGGTGTGCGCACAATAAGCGACATGCGCTTGCGTGACGAGGTGAACTCCAGGACATTCAGCACCTCGTATCGCTTGCGTACGCCCAGCGCATTGATCTCCACGTACTCGGGCGTACGGGTATCGAAGATGTAGCCAAACTTATGGGCACCCTCAACCAGAGCTCGCTCATCCGGACTGGCGGCATGGTAGATGATGGTCCCGTTCTCCCTTCGCTCAGGAATCACCGTATGGCAGACGGACAGCAGGACCAGAAACTCTTCAATTACGCCGGCCGTTTGGTGACGACTCAGAATGTTCTGCACCAGCTGCGACTGCTCCGGCGTGTGCTCCGGGGAGTAAGCTATGCCGGCAATGGAGCACTTCTTGAACTCCATCACGTTTTGGGTGAGAGTGCCCGTCTTGTCCGAGAAGATGTACTTCACCATGCCCAGTTCCTCGTTCAGGTTCGAGGTCCGGGCCATGGCCGGCGTGTTCGACTGCTCGTGATACATCTCAATGTCATAGTTGATGAATATGGCCTGCAGGAAACGCACCAGCTCGAGGGTGACCTGGAGCGAGATGGGTATCAGGTTGTTGTACAGAATGAAGAAGGTCAGCAGGTTGTAGCCGAGGCTCAGGCTTTTGAAGTCCACGAGACCCAAATACCAGTCCGTCTCCGAGTGCTCTCGCGTCCAGAACAAATTGCACAGGCCGCTGGTGATGCACAGTGAGATAAGGATCATGAACAGCATCAGGATCTGTGTATTGGTCAGCTTGTCCACGGTGGAGCGCTTCAACGGCGCCGAGGTAGAGTTCTTCATCAGCTTTGTCTCCTGACCGGAGTAGACAACGACCCCAAAGATCCAAGCCGTGTTCCGGAGCATGGCGCCGCGCTGCAGTACCTGATCGTTGCCCAAGGCGGCGGTTCTGGAAAGGATATATGATATAATATATCAATATAATATCAAAAGAAAGCTAACTTCGACATACCGAAGATTGCAATTAAACATTTAAAATTAAATTTGTATTCTATTATTAATATTATTTATATCCATAATTTTATATGATTATTTTTGGGAAAATTAAAGCTTAAAAATATCATAACTAAGTAAAAAAAGCGTCAAATTCAATTCGGAAAGCTTTTCTGTTCAAGTTTTTTCAAGGTTAACAAATCTGCATACTACATTTAATTTTATAAGAAATCAAAATTTTTGTTAATTTTTGAAAATTTTGACGATGTAACCCCTTATAAAAAACCTTATAACCCCTTTGAAAAAATTTGTAAATTTTTTTTTTTTGCCGGACATGGCTAGATAGACTCGCCTGTTGATGCTGATCAAGAATATATATGATTTATAGGGTCGGAAATGACTTATTCACTGCGTAACTGGGTTCTGATTGAAAGAATAATTCCCTAAGGGGTATATGTAAATATATCAAAAGTTTTTAAAATCGAAATATGTCTTAGTAAACGTTAAAATATAGAAATTATCTATCCCTATCCTCTAGAAATGAATTTCTATAACCTCATAAATTAAAGATTAAAAATGCTTGAAGTGAGATAAAGCATTTCTATAATAAGAACATAAAAATATTGCAATTTCTGCGCTATGCAGGTTTTGCAACACATGTTTCTTTACTCGCTATTTATACACTAGATTACTCACTGCTTGCCGGTCTCCTTGAGCACCCCATTGAATTCGTATAAATGCCGGTTGGGCAGCTCGCACTCAATCCTGCCCTGTAAACGCATCAGATCCTTCGTCTCCAGTAGGCCTGCAGTGCCTGTCAGTCCCTGTCGGATCTTCAGGTTGGTCTCGCCATCCAGATTGGCTGTCTCGATGAAGCACATGGCCTGCGGCTCACTGCGAATCGAATTTGTCATGGGGTTAAATAAATAATAATTGGGGTTAACTATAAACGCTGCTCACCTAGACGAGAGAATAATCAGATCGGCAGGGAAAAAGGAATTGATGGTGACCTTTATGATATCCCCCACGGTGAGCTCTGCCCAGCGAACAGTGGTCCAAGTGCCACTGTCCAGCCGCTCGATCAATCTGTGATTGATCTCATTGTCCGCCCGATGTCGTTTCTAGAAAAGTATTTTCAAATAAATCAGAATGCAAAAGGGAAACACAAACTATACTCACAATGTCCTCGATTATCTCCTTGATGGCGCTCACCGAGAGGATAAACATGAGCGGGACTAGCGTGGTGTAACGACCCGTGGGCGACACTTCCGGGATTTGCTGCAGTATGGCAATCAGGAGGAAAAAGCAGTTGGAATAGCGCCGGAACTGCTCAAACAGAAAGGCGGGCAGAAAGCTGATGATACTGCAAATGTAAATTACTGGTTAGTCAGTTCTCTTATCTACCAATTAGGGTCGGCGGCTTATCGCTGATTGATAAACTCACCTATATTTTGCCGTCGTAATGCGATTATTGCAGTACTTAGAGGTCTGTGGCGCATTTAGGTGTATGATACGCCTCTCCCCCTCATCCGCATCGTAGCCGGCCGACGAGGTGAAGTCCTCATCGTCTGCAAAATATCCAAAGTATATGTATTTTAGTGTTAGATATTAAATATTAGAAGCCATAAAAATGTGATAAGTGGCAATACGATGCTAAATTACAGTTAATCTGCTACCTTAAACAACAATGTTTCAATTAACTTGGTATTTATTCATGGCTAATGATGATTAGTCAACGAATTTATCTGCATTATAATATTATTAACGATACAAATGGGTAGCAATAGATTAAAACATACTTTAATAATAATTTTTATAAATTAACAACAATATACTCTAGGCTAGAGATGATATTTGAATAGAGAAATAATTATGTCGCTTTTGGTAAAATGTTATCCAAAAGCTGGGGCGTCCATCTGATTTGCCATTCATTTAAGAAGAAATTGCAGGCCCGGGGATTCCCCAAGGCATATTTCCGGGCAAATCGATTGCAATTGAATCCACTGCGACCCGCCGTCTGGCCCGCGGGCATGTAGGGCTCATCAAAATCCAGCTCTAGGATCTGCTGATATGCCAGAAATACAACCCGATGAATATTTGCACCCTCCGTGTGCCGCATATTGTCGTAGGCTGCTATTGTCTGGCCCAAGACCACATCGCAGCCCCGAAAGTTGCCCACCAGCCAGAGAAGCCACTCGCTGTCCGGCGACACATCCAAATCAACCATTATCAGCGTATGAAACTTCTCCGGATCGGCAATGAAGCGTATGATCGGCTCGATGACCACCTCGGTGATCACAATTTGATCGCCCGGCTGTATTTCAATGTCGCAAGGATACAGGACATTGATCAATACCGATGGCTTGCAAGGAAGCAGACGGGGTAAGATCTTGTGCTTCTTCAGCTCCTCGATCAGCTTTATCACCGGATCGACCGTTGGGCAGGTCACCAGCATGATTGGGGATAATTTTTAAATTTTGAAGAAATAATAAAACAAAAAACAAATAATAAAAGAAGTCGCTCGGCCCCCTAAGCCTGCCCCCGAAAAGAGAGTACTCCGAGGGGACTTCTATGATTCTAAAAAACTTACGACTCCAACGTATGCGAAGCGCCTTGTAGACATTCCGAAAATCCATATTGGTTCGTCGAAAAAAAGCGGGACACCGGAAGCGCCGGATTCGATCCGCTGATGGCGCTGCTATCATCGACTCTACCGTATCCTCCTCCTCTTCCTCCGCCTCCTCCACCGCCGCTTCCTCGGGTCCAGGTAACTCGTCGGATCCAGAATCGCAGTCGCCAACTGGCACGAAAGCAATGCTCTCGCCGGCAGTCTCCTCCTGCTGATTCCGTTTGGGAAACCCCAGGATGGAGGCCAGGTCAGCGAAGGGTATCAGCCACAAGTGGGCGTGACGGTTGCAAGCAGGAGAGTTATGTATATAAGAGAATCTCAGCGCCTGCGCTACCCAGATTCAATCAGTGCGTCGTATAAGAAAACACACATTTTCCAACCCGAGGTGTTCCGGGGGATTCTGTGGCATGCACAACATTTGCATATACACACAGCCAGGCAGAGGGATATGCTTAGGATTTGTCCAAGTCTTTCTTTAGGTTTCCTTTCGAAGGAAGGTGTTACTCTTCCGGTTCCGTCACCTGGCAACGTGCCTTTGATTCACACCGTTTCAGGTGTATCGATTTGTCGCAATTCAATGATGACTTAGGTAAAGCACGTGATTTTCTTTGTCATTTCCAATGATTTATGAGGTTTTCCCTCCTAGAATTTAATTTCTTTTGAAGATTATATTGTTGCTAAAGCTTGATATATTAAAGAATATAGCACAGATGTCGGAGCCAAGTTCACGGCGAACTACAATTTTCACTGCGTGCGCTCTCCTGAGCTCCGATACTACGACTGAGCTGAATTTTCAACGTGCTTGGGAACACCAGAACCCAGTAAGGACACACACACCGGAGGGATGGGATAAGATGGGTGGAGGTAACCCGTTTACGCTCAGGTCGGGGAGCCCTCCAAAGCTGCGTAGTGCACTCCGCAGGGAGCTTATAAAGCTTACGAGCTATCAGCAAATCGAAAACAATGCGTACCACTGAAAGGGGGTGGCGGGCGGAGAGAGAGAATTGTGAATGCAGGAGCAAAGGCAAAAGCAAAAGCGAAAGCGAAAGCTGCTAGCACAACAAAAAGCAAGAAAATGCGGAAAACAAAGAGCGAAAAACTAGCGCCTGCGCTGTAAAAGAAAAGCTTTATAAAGAGAGAGAGACAATGGACTCGACCATAAAGATACCCTCATGAAAATGGTTTATAAGATATGGAATTTTATTATTATTTAACTAGACATGGAAAACCATTTAGAAATTATTATTATCTTTGCTTATTTTGGCGGAATTTGCATAAGAGATTACGTTTTATATTATACACTTTGCTATATAAAAATCTCGTTTTATGGTGGCAATTTGAGAAGTTAAAAAAGGTCAACAGATATTTTAAAGGGTTTTAAATAAAATTATATTAATTTCATTGAAACTGTGTTATAAAAATCTTTCAACTAATAAATTACAGTTAAAAAATCATCAAGACATTGATTAATTAAAAATAAATATAACAATCATGACTTATCATGACTTTTGCAAAATAAACCTATTTCGTAAGTCACCATAAGTCATAAAAAAAGCATATTTCGTAGAAGCCATAAGTCGTGAAAACATTTTTATCAGAAATCCTCAGAGAGAATAAACAATATTCATGATTCAATTTTTCATTTCTATAAAATAATGAGGAATTTAAATAAATATAACCGTGGCCAAACAGAAACCCGTAATATGCATGTGTTGAAACATTTTGAAGTAGATTAAAATAGGTTTCCTTATTTCCTCATAGTATTTTAATTATAAAGCTCTCTTGAAATATATACCAAACTAAGTTAGGAACCCCTCAAATTTCTCAATACTTATGATCCCACTCAAATTAATCTCAAAAGAGATATCAAAACCCCTGTTTAGTTAAACATATATAAAAACTAAGCACACCTTTCTTTTTTCTCCTTCGCAGGTTGTTGAGGATATTTTTCATGGAGAGCCTACTGCCCCCTCCTGTGGCATCTGTCAGTCGTTGGTGCTGAATCCCGCCATCCGTCACCGTGATACCAGTGGCGGTACTCCTTGATGGACCCGCTGTGTCCTCCGAACGCCCTTCACTGGGCTGTTGTCTATCCTCGCCGCCAGCCAGACCTCCCTCCGATCGCGTGGGTCCTGTGGTGGCTGTTCGGCGCATCACCTGCGTCCTCATCTGCCGGACACCGTTGCCAACCCAAGCCTGCAGGCTGGGCCACAGGCTCCTCGCATCGAAGGTGGCACGGTTGGTGGTGGGATTGTGACGCTGCTCCTGGCCATGTCCGTTGCGTCCGTTCTGGGCGTGATTGTGGCCACCGCTACCGGCTCCATTGCCAGTCTCGTTCTTGCCGGAGTTCGCCATGCTAACATGGCTCCGCGACTCGCATTCACTTTCCGGATCTTATCTGTTTTGACACGATTCAATTAGTGGTTTGGGTTGAGGGACCGCGGACAGTTTTTGCAAGCGCGGTCTGTTGTTGCACTTAGGATTTTGCGTTGAAATGTCATTTTGATTGAACTCTTGTCAGTTTTGTTTGATTTTTTTTTTGTTTGATTTTCAAATGCTTGCTGGGTTGAAATACTAACAAAAAAAATAGTGTCAGTTCCTAAATATTTACTTCCATAGGTTCTTTAAGTTATTATATATACTTTATTAATAAAGTTGTGTGCTAGAGTTTCTTTTTTAGGCTGAAATTAAGCTCTTGACATAAATAATTATCTCAGATATCAGCTGGTTGAATACAAAAAAATATTATAAAAAAGAAAAAGGTATACGGCAAAGCAAACAAAGGAAATGTTTACAAAACCAGATGGTTTTTGAATTGATAATTGCAGTTGAATGGTTGGATATATAAAGAAAAATCAAAAAAAAAAAGGCATGTATACAATGAATACATGCATGTACCTCAAAACATATTAAATACATTAGATATAATCTATCAAAAAACTTTATTGTAGCAAAAAACCAACACAAAATACAAGCTAAATAATGTAAATTATTCTTGTTTTTTGTCGCGGTCTATTTCCCTTTGACCGATATTGATTTACTGCCAAGTTGAGTGGATAATTTAAGCCACTGTCATTGGGTGTAGAGGGGAAAATGCAGGGCCATGGAGCATTATCCGCCCAGTTAAAGCGCTTAAAAGGCTGCCATTATATTACATTATCCCTCAAATCTGTTCAGATTGCTTAGCCGGACTCTGCAATTTACTGTGTGGATTAATTACGAGTTTCCTGGGGGACTCGCCTTGTGCCGGGTAAGCATGCCAGATAGAAAGCCATAAAGGAATTAACATACACATATAGCTTCAGGGTGAGCGGGGAGTGAAGATATATAATACAGCGAACATCGACCTCGGAAATCGGAAGCTAACAAAGCGTCTTTTTGCCCTGTCCACGCTCTCTCTCTCTCTGGCCAAGTGAAATATTCTATTTGCGTGCACTGTACGTGTTTTCCGTGTTTTCCGCCCATAACTATGTATGGTCACCCGGAGCAACAACAACAACAACAGAAACAAAAATACAAGCGAAGCGAATGGAACCGAAATTATGGCACCCGCAGAGTCATTAAAAGCGTCATCAGGGATTCGATTGCCAAAGGATTTCCCCACGTATGGGGATTTGAAATTGAAATCCTGAATGGATTCCAAGTGCAGCCAAGGCGTCGCTGAATTTTATCGATTGCTCCAGTTTCTTTGCCTTGCATTCTGCGAGCACTTCTAAGCACCTACAATCAACTCCCAATGTCCTTGGGCACCCACACACACACACACACAGGCAACACACAATTACACCTGAGTCAGGAAAATCGAAAAAATTATATACTCGATTCTAGGGCGGAGGAGGAAGGAAATTAGCCTTTAATATTTATAGGCAAAGGTTCTTCTGCCCATAATTGCAGCCAAATCAAAGAAGGCCTTTACGAGTATCCACTTGAAGTGAGAACCTGGAACCGTTTATCTTTCCTTTGTTATTTCCTTCCTTGGAGTCTCTGACGTAAATCACCAACGGCGCGATCCGTTCAAGTAGATAAATATATGTATGTATGCCGAAAAAACATATGGTCTTACAAATGTATATTCGCGACGCTATTGAAGTTTATTCTGCCAGCCGCGACGGAAGCTAAAAATACCAGCATAGACATAGAAATAAGTATTTTGGATTCATTCCAAGCGAAATTTACTTATTTCTGTGGATATCACATAAATTCGAATGGAATGCCGCTCAAGGGAGCGTGTACTGTAGGTGGGGCCAATCATCACTGTAACCAAAACAGAACTAATTATATAGCTTCTCGCTGTCGTAATTCCCGCTGGCCTAAGATCTTAAATTAAACATTTTGGACTGCACTTGAATAGTGAAAAAAAAAAGGTTGAGCTATTAACACTTGAATGGAAATGAGTTGGAAATGTTTTTAGTTTATTTCTAAAGTCAGTCGATGGCGTTAATTACGCGACAAATGAGAGCCACAGTGCCGTGCGTCTGTACTCGCACTCGCTTATCTGCGAGATACTGTGTTGTGGCAATAGCAAAGGTAAACAGATACGTATACTGTATCCACGAGATACACACTAGCTGTGTCACCACCACGTTCCGAGGAGGGATGAGGTCAGATCCTCGAGACGCCAAACCAAACATGCACAAACAAAGACGTCCACAGACAATTGTGAATTCGAATCGATGGGAAGGAAATTATTGGCAATCGACCAAGATTACTGAGTGTGGCCGCCCCCTGCGATGTCATCGTTTGTTTAGCTAGCTTTCCCTGGAACACCGCCTCCTAATGCGGGCTAAATATGCAATAATGGCAGGCTAGCTTACTCAGAGGGCCCCCCCTTATGTAAGTCGCATTTATTCCCACCTGCACAAGTGGGAAAGTGCAGGGCGGCGTGACGAGTATGTCAAGTCACTTGTTTTAATTTCTGCTTATTTTTAGCCCCAAAAAAATGTTTATTTGTTTGTTTGTTTTGTTTATTTGCCTTTTGCTTCTGCCATTAATTAATTTGCGTTTGGCAAATGAAAGCAAAAGTGATGAAAATTAATAAGAGAAACAACTTTCTACAGCGACAATCGGATTTTTGGCATCAGCTGGGGATTAACTATATATATATATTAGGTTTGATGTAGGTAGTGTGTCACAACGGTGACGAATTAACAGAGGACTGAGTCAGTGACTAGTTTACCTTCGAGTCGTTGAATGGACGGATTCCCGCCAGCACACTGGTATAATGACATATCGCCCGGCACTAAACGATTCTCGCTAACCGATCTCGGCGGCAACCCCCTCGATCTATGCGAACCGAATGCAATTTAACAGTAAATTAGTTCACACATGCAACGGCTGCAACCGCCGAGTGCGGCTAATGCCCGATAAAAGGGAAAAGAGACGCGCAGAAAAGAGCGTCGTCAACGATGGCAAAAGAAAACTGGTCTGAACAGCATTAAACAACAATTGCATTTTGCCATTGCAAAACCAAATAAAACAAAACAAAAGACAACAAAAGAGAGGGGATCGGATCGCTGAATGGGAGAGCAAGCGTAAGAGAAAATCGACTTTCCAAAGCCAAAGCCATTCAATGAATGACAATAAAGTCCGCCTTCTACATAGAGAAAAAGTCTCACCGAAAATTGCTGTTGGCATTTAAATATAATAATGAACGCTTGTCACTCCTAAAAATAATATATATATTTTATCCAATCAAAATCTTATATTTTTTGCTACACTCGAAATTATTTAAAATTTTGCTCAAGTAAACAGGTTTTTGCAATACATCTGAGGAATACCATTTGTATCTTTTCTAACATATTAAGATAAAATGCATTTTATGGAAAATATTAAGATATATTTAAGAGATATCAATTTTTTAATGATATTTCTGTACTATTTAAACATTTCTAGCTAGAGTTTTCCTAACTTATTCTTGAAAATAATGAGATATCCTCTTAAATCTTATCTACAGATTTCATTCTTTGAAAAATCATCACTCCCATGAGCATATTTATTTTTCTCCGTGCCTGTACATATTGTACATTTGATTATACAGCTGCTACTCTTCATTGGTCTCAGCACACAGCATAGCATTTGAAAATCAAACGATAAATTGACGCGGCGACACTTATATGTATTTTCGGTGGTGTGGTGGTTGTCCATGCAACAAATGTCCCACCTAACATAGAACCACATACAGCTCGGATAATTACATTTGACCTTTCGCGGCGCTTAGCTTATTCAAATTCGTTTATTCAAATTCAGTCACTATTCACTGGATGGGCTCGAATACGATTTACGTTTCGGATGAGTGTTTTTTGGATGCATCACTGAGATCACCGAAAAGTCGCTCGTAACCGTACTTTTGGATTAACAACAAGGGGCGCCGATATATATCCAGTATTTGTATTTACTTTAGCCAGTAATAATTCGCGTTAGCTGAACACGTCGACCTCGTTAACCGGTCCAAAATGCGTCCGACCGCTGGCACGACTTTTTGCTCGGCGGTTCGGAAAGCGACTGAACCAACTGAACAACTCAACAACTGAACGCCGTGCTGAGAGCGGCGAGCAAGCAACCTGGCATCAAGTGTTTGCGTTTTGTGGGGGGGCGGCGTATTTTGATTTTTGTATTAGCGTTTGGAAGCGAGTTGCCAGACCGCGGTTACCAGCCGCAAAAAAGAAATCAATTTCGGCCAGCAAGAGAGCCCTTTATAATGGTCCGTTATTCATTTACGATTTACATGCACGCCATCCAAAGCGGTAATTAGTTATCAGACATCTAGATTCTGTCACAACTTGAAGGCAAAGTGTCAGCTTGACAAATGACGATTAGAGGGATGAAAGGACACACCAAGCCCGCATTTTATCATCCTTGCGCATCAGTAGGCACAATGAAATCAAAAACAAAAAAATTAAAAAAAAAAAATAACATTGGCCCATGAGGGGATCGAACCCGCGACCTTCGCGTTATTAGCACGACGCTCTAACCAGCTGAGCTAATGGGCCTTGTTGACTAAGTTGGTCCAATATCAAACGAAAGTCTCAGACCAGCAAAGAATAGTATTTTTAAAAAGAACAATTTTTTAAATTACAATAAAAAAAATATAATTCAAACAACAATTTTAAAAAATTAATTATTTAAAAAATAAATTAAACAAACAAAAAATTTTGTCAGAAGTGGGATTCGAACCCACGCCCTCAGAGAGGACCAGAACGCTCATACACTTTCGTTCAGAAAGCAAGATTTTACATCTTGAGTCTGGCGCCTTAGACCGCTCGGCCATCCTGACATGTACAGAGAGAGTGTCAGAAACGCAAGTTGTGTGCGCGAGTACAGTCAGTATAACACCATAGAACAGTTCTGTCGCTGGTATAACAATTTCTGTGTAACTTAACATAGCACTGTTAAATAGCAATGTTAAACCACGATGTTAAATCTTTCCCTGACTCTACTACGCCTTTTGACACAAGGCAGGCACATGGCCCATTAGCTCAGCTGGTTAGAGCGTCGTGCTAATAACGCGAAGGTCGCGGGTTCGATCCCCTCATGGGCCAGAAATTACTTTTTTTTTCGTTTTTTTTATGCACTTTGAAAATTAAAAAGTTGACATACGTTTGATGAGCGTATGTCCCGCAAAGTTATATAGTAAACCCAGATAAGCTACGACCAATAAGGGATTCGCCCAATTATGGAGCGCTGCTAATGTTATCTCATGCCGTGCAGGTCGAGAACGGACCCCAAGTGCGATGCGATGATGTCACGAGAAGCGGACACAAGGATGATCTAACGCGGTCTATTTCTTGCAAGGCAGCTAAGTGAAATGTCAATTCAATTTGCCATCAAGGATGATTGAATTACCCGTCCTCCAATCCACCCAACCCCACCACGACCGCAGCGCGTGTGGGGTATCTTAATTCGCCACGGCAATCAAGCTAAACGGTTTATTGGGCGATCTTATCGGCGCAACGAGTTGAAAATGCTTTTAGACAAAAGGCAATCCACAAAGCAACAATCGAGGCAAATCCTAATTTATTGCTTTTGTTACTGTCGCAGGATAGGATTTAGGTGCAGGGTATTTCAAGTGTCAGGATGGCCGAGCGGTCTAAGGCGCCAGAGTCAAGATGTAGGATCTTGCTTTCCGAACGAAAGTGTATGAGCGTTCTGGTCCTCTCTGAGGGCGTGGGTTCGAATCCCACTTCTGACAAATATCTTTTTTTGTTTAGCTATCACGTTAAATAAGTAAATGAGGTCAGAATAATTTAATGTAAGTTATATTTTTAAAGAAGGAAGGAAAGAAAAAGCTATATGGGATAGCATCATACATTTTTATATGACTCTCTGTCCTTAAATTTTGTAGGAAGAAGATATAGTTCCTTTTACTATTTTCTTTAAATAAATAATAATGTTAATTTTTAATGTTGATCAATGTAACCTTAGCTTTACTCCTCAATCTTTTACCAATTTCTTATCTCTCACAAGCATTCGTCCTATCAAGGAAGTCCTATGTAAAATCAGTTTCTTTTTAAATATTTTGCTACCAAATATAGTCCCATGCCGTCAAAAACTGTCTCAATTTTAACCCCAAAAGGTGTAGACGGACCAGGAAAAGCTCAATCGCCTAAGACCAACAAGCTCAAGAAGCGTGTGAGATTCTACCCGATGGTGGAATACATCTTCTACGACAATCAGGAGACGAAGGCCGGTGAGCTACTGCGGCTTGGTAAGTAAAGGGATATATCGGTTATATAACGTCTTTATTGATTGATTGACTACTTTGAAGATGTGGCGCCTGGAGGACAAGGCAGACTCTGGTCTCACAAAAACATACGCGTAATGTTAGGGCTCTAGCCCAAAAAGGTCACCATTTTGCAATAGAGCAACTATAAGCACACACACCACGGACAGGAACCGCCAGCGGAAGTTGTTAACTGAACGTGACACTTTTAACCTAATTGGAGTCTAAACTGCTGCCCGTGTCCTGTGCGGTAACTTTGGCAGTTTAATGCATTTTCCATGTTTTACTTATACCGGTGACAGTATCCAGTCAATATCATGAAATCTACACTTTAAATATTGTATATTTTGCATTAAAAAGAGCGCCAGCCCTGCACTTGCTTACGACTATATTCGGCCTTCGATTTACTAAAACCCACGTAAGTGACTTTGCAATTTACAACGACGACATGAATGGATGTACGTTGTGGGGCGGAAGGAGTAATCTGCATTTGAAATATTTACAATTGGTAAGGCCCAATACAGAGCGGAATGCAAAGAGAGAATGCAAGGATTATGGCCCTTTTGAGACGTCAAAACACACTCGTTGATTCGATAAGGCTAAGCTCTGCAACTGACCTATGTCAAAGAGTTAGCGGGGCGGGCAAACAAATCGATGGTGCCGGCTGGCAATTAAGTGCAGCCATAACCCTGCCAGCACCTGAACACAATTGCCGGATGATGATGGTAGCTGGGCAATCAGCCATTGGTATCGCCTTGATATATGGCCGCGTCATTTGACTCGGTTATCCGCACGGGCAATGCCCAGTGCGGCAATGGTAATCGCAGTTCTGCGGCTATAAAAGGCCCTCGGAGCTCGTTAGTTGGCCATCCAGACACGGAGAGCGTTACCACAGAAATGTTCCTCCAGATTGTGACTTCGTTAGCCCTGCTGCTGGCCATCGTGAATGGCGCAGCGATTCCCTCGGGTCTGGTTCCCCAGCCCACTCAGGACGGCAGGATTGTGGGTGGCTCAACGACGTCGATTGAGGATCATCCATGGCAGGTTTCCGTCCAGAAGTCGGGCGCTCACTCCTGCGGAGGCTCCATCATCAGCACCGACATCATTGTAACAGCCGCCCATTGCCTGCAGTCTCCGGTCACGACCTCTATTTTGAAGATTAGAGCCGGCTCCGACCGGCGAACCTATGGCGGCGTTTTGATTGAGGTGGCTGCCTTCAAGGTGCACGAGGGCTTCAACGCGGCAACCATGGCCAACGACATTGGAGTGCTACGTCTGAAGACCAAGCTGACATTTGGATCCACTATTAAGGCCATCACCATGGCCACTGCCACACCTGCCCATGGAGCCGCAGCCAGCGTCTCTGGATGGGGAAAGACCACTTACGGCGGCAGCTCGTCCTCGCAGCTGCTCTACATCGACACCAAGATCGTGGGACGCTCGCAGTGTGGAAGTTCCACCTACGGGTACGGGTCTTCCATCCGGGAGACAATGATTTGTGCGGCGGCAGCCAATAAGGATGCCTGCCAGGGCGACTCGGGCGGTCCTCTAGTATCTGGAGGGCAGCTCGTGGGCGTAGTCTCCTGGGGAGAAGAATGCGCCCTCGCCAGGTTTCCCGGTGTCTTCGCCAACGTGGCCGAGCTGCGCGATTGGGTGCTGCAGGCCCAGAAGACCGTCTAGTTTAAGTCAAGTGCAAGAGCAATAAAAAGCAACTCATAGTCGTAACTGCAGCTGGAATGGCTTTCGTTTCCTTTGCTACTTCCGCTCATTTGACTGCTCAACAGCAGAAGCAGAAGCAGCAGCAGCAGTGACTTGTGAATCCAATCCCCAATGCCACATGTGCGGCAGCAGGACGACGTGCCCTTCCTGTGGGCCACGCCACTCGTACATGCAATCTGGGTCAGTCCGCAGGGGTTGCCTGGCTGACTGACGGGTGGGGCTTCAAAAAACAGGAGGGGATTGAGGACGGGACAATGGTAAGCCTGTTTCAGCGGCATTTGCATACTCAACGCTCAGTACAGTCGTGTGACATATCTGTGACATGGCTGTAAAGGACTTAACAAATCAGACACTCTCATTTAATTGTAGAATTTTGAATAACGAAGAATATATTCAAGCCCTGGAGTTAAAGTATATTTGGTTTTCCTTAGAAGAAGAAAATGGGTAAATTCCATTAAATGAAGTATATTCTAGAAGTGAACTTTAGCCAGCTATCAATAAATTACGCCTTTAGTCAAGGCATCCTTTTGTTATTAAAACCCTTTATTTGATGGATTTACAGCATTATTAAATTAACACCTTTTGTTATCACCAAGATAATCAAGATAATCACAATCTTTAGACAAAGAATCTGGAATAAGCTAGAAAATCAACCCTAACTACGTAATTGCCACATCTGTTTTTGCTTTAATTACAAAACAAGACCAAAACATCTATAAAGTTACGTTGGTAAACCAGAATAAACCAATACAAATACTACTATATACTACATATTTTTGAACAAATGTTTAATCCTTGATTTTACATAAAAAACATACAAAATCAAGACACACATTTAATTTTATAAAACCTTCCCCTTAAAACCATATTTCTCATATCTTTTTTAAGCCAAAAGCTCATGCAAACTCCAAGAACAAACATTTGTTTATAAAATCTGAATATGTGTGGTCTTTAAACAAAAACGAAAAGTTGGTAAACAGAGCACTCAAATCTCCGGGAGGCATTGGCCACAGCCAACCCCGCACCCTCGCTCCACCAGAGTCCAGACTACGGGACGCCAGTTGTATTGATCCAAAACGAATGAGGCGACGCGACACTAAGAGAGGCTGCCCAGGGAGATGAAATGGTGACTAGCCTACGGAATGCCTAGAATTCTTGGGCGTCCAGCTGCTCAACACACTCACCTTCGTACTCCGCCCGCTTCCTGCGTAGAAATGAGGCGGTCATTTGTAGGCCCCTTTGGGCCAAAACAGAAACTCGACTCCGGCCACTCTGTCGGGATAAAATGGAGCCCTTGGAGTCCTTGCGGTTGCCCGACCTTCGGTTAGAGGAGAGTGTGCCAGCCACGGAGGTGGACACAGAGGCTGCTGGCTGCTGACCGGATGTCGGGGTCACTGGCGTATTGGGCGTGTCCGAGTCGATGAAGCCCAGGTTGCTGTTGGCACTGTTCAGGTGGATGCTGGATTGATCCGGGCGCCCGCAAAGCGTGACGCTGCCGCCACTGTGGATACTTTGCGATACGGAGGCGGCCAGTTGCTCATCCAGGCCGTCCGAGACCTTGGGCGTGAGGTGCTCCAGAGACTCAAAGTCCCGATTGATGGCCGGCGGCATGGAGTGCCGGAACCAGGAATCCTGGCGCTGCTGGGCCACGCGTTGCTGTCGGCGTCGCTGGCTGGCCGAAGTGCCCGACAAATGGCGCATCCGGCTACCGGGATCATCCGCAGATCCATTGTCCTGCGGACTACGCAGTTCTAGACTCTGCCGCTGGTAGGGGCCCGACATCTTCTCTTATGGGGGGTTGTTCTTGGTTCCTGGGGATTTGCTCCCGAAAAAGGCACTGGATCAGGACTCAGCTGGGGATGCAGGCACTCGAAAGGCACATGTGGCTACTAACTCTCGTTTTCTAATCTCGATTCCTCCTCGAGCAGCGGTTATGTAAGGCGCTCGACCTCTAACTCGGCGGTGGGGGTTTGGGCTTGGGCTTCCATTACCGTCTCCGTTCCCATTTCCGTTACCAAATTCACATTCCCAATTCGTGGGCCTTGACTCTGACAGGTGTTGAGAACCGGAACAACTGGCGACGAACCGAGCCCAAGGCGGACGCCGCCGCCATTAGTGAAACGATTTTAAAGCTACTCCACACGGCTGAGACAGAATATCAAAAATTCATTGCAATTCTGACATTTAGGGGCAATGGTAATGCTATTTGCTTGTCACGCATATGCAGCTGGAGACGGAAGAGCCTATGGCACGCTTTCGATGTCGCAGATATCTATATCTATATATATTTTCAAGTGCCTTGCCCCGGTAGCAATCTTTCAAACATAAATCCAAAGAGCCCGAGCTAGAGCCCCATTAGTTCGCAGTGACAATCTGAATAATTAAAGTGTCGTTTAAAGCGGAGGGCTGGAAACCTTCAGATTATCGAGCTGCATTCGCGACTGCAGCGCTAAATTGAGTATTTACACCTCTCCAATTACTACGCTTGTACGCCGTAATTGCAAAAAGGCTAAAGCCAAAGTGGGAAGAGACTACTGCGCCACGACGAGTTTCGCCACTTTCAACGATTTCCCACGGCTATTGGCCGCAGCCAAAAAAAAAACCAAACACGTCCAAACCGAACCGAAGTCAAAAGCCAACTGCGGATCCTTTACGAAATAAGGGACAACACAGCCGCCTGCTCGTCTTTCCTTCGGTCCACGAAAAGCCGAGCCCTCAACCGAAGTTTGCTTTTAGCTGTAGCTGTGGGAAGAGGGTAAAGGGAGCCCGAAAACTTTTCAAAAATATATGTGTCGCTGCTCAGGAGAATACACGCGCGTATGTGGGCCAGGCACTAAATAAACTAAGAGATAAATTGGGCAGCTATGAGCAGGCGATTGCTTATATTTTACAATTGTCGACCCACAGAAGTATGCAACATTGTTTGCTCTCTGCTGTCTGTTGGCTGAAATAGCGTTTAGCCGCAGCCGGTCATCGCGGCCCATTAGCTCAGCTGGTTAGAGCGTCGTGCTAATAACGCGAAGGTCGCGGGTTCGATCCCCTCATGGGCCAAGTCTACTTTTTTTTCTAGGAACTATTTTTTCAATTATTTAGAACAGTGAGGTAGCTAGGGAAAATAATCTTATCGCTTTATTGAGGACAGCAGAGATTCATTAACTCTTTGTTCTATTTTTGTAAGAAATTGCTATTTAAGGCTTTTTTTAAACGATGTTCACAAGGTATTTGTTCAAATTGTATTATTTGTTTGTAAGGCCAAATTAGTAAAAAGTCTTCAAAAAGTTGTATATATATTAAGTACATATTCGACTAAGTTCTTACTTTGTTTTTGATCACACATTATTTGTTACGAGAGTTTAAATTTAAATGACTATTTCTTAGATCTTTTTAAAACTCAGCTCTATGGGGACGTAAATTGAACTGAATTATTTAAACACATTAAGTAAATAATCCGATTAAAAAAATATACAGTTTTATGTCCCTCGCGATAACAAGTTCGACTTAAAAATTTATTTCTTGGGCAAGTACGCCCCATAGTTCAGCCATATCAACTATTGTGTGGCAACAACTACAATATATAGGACTTAAATAGTACGTTACTCACAGGTATTTAGCAGACCCGGGCCGGGGAACTCGCTGCTGCGGCGGTAAGAGAGCCGTAAGCGTGATGATATGGATGGCATCGGTATAACTTCCAAGTCAACAGCAACTGGTGACCAAACATCCGAGACAAGGGAAAAGGCCAAGAAAGGGGCGGCCGCCGGCTGTTGTTTGGCTTCGCTGCTCTGTGTACTTCCGCGGAAATCAGCTCATTTATGCCAGCAAACATAAGTACACACACTAGACTACGCACAACATTACACCTCCCACACAAACCGCTGCCAAGTTGATTCTATTTAGGCGCAGTGAATAATTGCACGAGTGTGTGGAATATTGATAAGGGAGTAAACAAAGCCGCAACTGTGGCGATAAGTGCGCTAACGCCTGAATGTGATGATTTCCTCAGTCTAGACTGAAAAATTGCATTTATCACTCACTATATGTCAGCAGGCACAAGTCGCGGCTTGTGCTCTATATTTTCTTTTATTATTTTGCGCTTTTTATTATTCGCAGCTGGCACGGTTGCATTCGCCTTTACGCAGATCTGGCAACGCTGCAAGCCACAGCTGCTTAGCTGTTATCGAAAGACGTTATCACCTATCGAAATTCAAAGAAAAACCATCAATTTCAAATGTTATTCTAACGCAATTGTTTTTATTCCATAAAACGACAGGGTACAAATGACTTAAGTTCTAGGTCTTTGTTCTCCAGGACACCGCACAGTTTTACTTTTTACACATTGTACAAAGGGATGCTTGGATTTCATTTAATTTTTTCTTTCTTTTTTTTTCAAACAATTATTTCAATGTCCGTTTCGATGATTAACTGAAATCAGTAATTCAGAGCGGCGGTTAAGTAATTAAGAAAGCCTTAGCTACATGCAAGTGATGGATACATGAACATAAATTGGGTTATTCGACACATAAAACCAGAGTTTTGTACGCTAAAGAGTATTCATAAATTTTTAGGTACTACGAGGATGGATATATACACGTTCTAATATACATTTTATGTTAACTGTCATTCAATATGAATGAGTGCTCCAGGTTATTAGGTAGTGATCATTAGATACAGGTTGCCAAAACAAGTGTGATATTTCGTTCTTTCAGGCTCAGTTCGATGCCCCTTAACAGTCTTTTGAAAATGCATAGGTAATCCGTGTTAATAACTTCGTTGTTTCCGTTCCATTCCACACAACAAGTAGGTGAACATAAATTAATATCAAGTTAGCAAACGAGACAACAAATTGCAACATGCTGACGAGAAGAAACGAAAGTAACGATAATGATGGCAAGAAACGTTTCAAAATGGCAAGTAATGGGTGGGTGGGGGGTGGTTGGTTGGTTCGGATGTGGCCTCTCGGGTTAATGCTGATTGACTGGACGTTATAACTCATTCTCCATGTTGGAGCGAACGTTTCGCAGCACGTTGTGCGTTTTTAGTATCTGATTCTTGATGTCTTTCTCGACTTGTGCTTTTGCTTTGTTAGCCAGACGCAACTTTTCGTAGGTGTCTTCGAATGCTCGCTTGGTGCGGATTAGTTTGCGCCGCAACTCGGCGTTTTCAAGATCTACCTTGGCACAGTCGTGGGCCGTTGCTGTGGCTGTGGATACGGATGATGCAGCCAGGTTGGCCTTGCTTTCAGGTGAAGTTGAATCTGTAAAAGAATAAAAAGGATACTTGGTAAATTTGTTGGTTTGTTTCAAAACTTGACTAAACACTCACCGTCTAACTTTATCTTCTGCTCGCCACTCAGCTCCACAGTCTTCAGCATTGCTCGCTGGGCATTGGACAGCTCCACGCTGGAGATTCGCCCGGCATCGCTCTCTATGCCCAGATCGGGTGACGAGTTGTTAACCCTCTGTGCCAAGACTGCAGCCGTTGCCGGGTTGGAGGCAGAACTGACTGCCTGGCCATGTCCTGCTGGTGGACCCATGGGCACTGCCACCTCCTCGGAGGTGTAACCCGACTGTGAGACATCGCTGCTATTGGCACGCTTCTGCTGCTGCTGCTGCATTAGCTTACGCTGCTCCTCCTTCAGCGCCTCCAGCTGCATCTTCAGCTCCTCGGAGCGCTTCTCCAGCTGCAGCTTGTCGTTGTAGGCCTTGGTGCGTTCCATAACAGCCTTGGAGGCCTGCAGGGTGCTCTCGTCGAGTTGCTTTTTCAGAGCCCGCGTGGCCAGCTCGTTTTCCACAAGCGTCTGCTTCAGTTCTTTCTCATTCTCCTGGTGATAGTCCAAGGAACGCTGCAACTCCAGCAGCTGCTGGGCCTGCTCTTGATAGGTGGTCAAAGCCACCCAGTCGCGCTCCAAAGCCTCCTTGTGCAGGCGCTCGTGCTCCTCTAGCTGCATTAGAGCTTCCTGTTTATGCTGCTCCAGCTGGGACTGCATTAGGTCCACGGACTCGGCATGTCGCTGCTCAATCTCCTGGATCTGCTGCTGTGCCGCCTGCAGTTCCATCTCGGTTATCTGCGCATCCGCTGTCAGAGTGCTTTGGGCCAGCTTCAGCTGGTCAATCTGTTGGTTCTTGTGCTCCAGCAGGCGCTGCAGTTCCAACATGCGCTCCTCCTCGTGCGAACCGATGGCCTGCAGATCGGCGGTGAGAGCCTCATTGATGGCTCGCAACTGCTCCAGCTGCTGGCCGATCTCCAGGCACCGCAGCTGTTCCTGCTTGTAGCGATTGTCCAGCTCGACCAGCTGACACTGTACGTTTAGCACACGCTCGTCTTTCTGGGCTATTTGCTCCTCCAGCTGGGCAATGCGTTCGCTGTTCCGGTTCCGCTCCTGGCGCATGGAGCAAGCCCTGCCCTCGCTCTCCGACTCGCTGGCCGGCTGCTCTGAGGGCGCTGCCAAACTATGGGAGGTTTCTTCGAGTCCTATGCGCGCCAGCGATACCTTGCGATCGGGTTCCGACCAAGCCTCCGACTCGCTCTGGTTGTCCAGCTGCTGAGTGGGTAAAGGCAGGGAGCGACGCTCCTTGCGCGGCATCTGCTGTCCGTCGGTGCTGCGCCGCTTCTCCAGCTCCCGCTTCAGGGCCTTGTTCTCCGCCTTGAGGTTCTCCATGGTCGGCGTCATCGAACTGGCGGCATGGATCTGCTCGTGAGAGTTGTAAGTCTTGTGGCTAACATCGCCCTCGGTGTAGAGGATCTCGGAGAGATTGCACAGCTGCGCGAGACTCTGATCGGCCAGCGAGGCACCCGTTATGTTTAGGGTCATATTGAGACTCTTGGAGAGGTCCAGGCTGCGATCCACAGCCTTGCGCATGGCATGGCGGCGATCGGCCGCCAGTACGCCAAGGACATCCTTGTGCTTTAGCAGGGAGTTCAGAAAGCCGGCCAGCTCTTCCAGCCGATTGGTCAAAACACCGCAGACATCCACGCACTCCAGGCGCCATTTGTCCGCCGTCTCAACTTCCAAGCGAGCTTGCTGGAGCTCCAAGCGCAGCTGCCCGATCACAGCGCAGTTTTGCTGATCGTCCGCCAGACGCTGGAAGAGCACGTCCACCTTGCGCTGCAGCAGCTTGTTACGCTCCAAGGCCCGCGAGTACTCAGCCTCGGTGAAGGATTTCTGCAGGTCAGCCTCTCCGGCAGACTCCTCTCCAATTTGAGGCAGCACTTTCGGTTGGTTTGCCAGCAGCTTGGTGAGACGCTCCACTTCGCGGTTCTTCTCCCACAGCTCCCTGTTGACCAAGTTCTGTAGGTTGGCCGTCTTCTTTTTGACCTCGGCCTGCAGCTGCTTGATTTTCTCCTCCTGCTCGGCGATCTTTTGCTCGTAGCGCACCTTGAGGCTGACGGAGATTTCGGGAGAGCAGGCCTCGTTGTCACTCAGCGAGCGTCCGCCTGTCATTGAGGATGAAGCCCCAGCCTTGGCGCTGTCGTTCTTTAAGGCAAAAAAATTTGTAAAGCATTTAGCATTATTTTTTGTTAAGGGGGGTTCATCTCACCTCCTTGTTTACCGACTGCTGCTGCTGCTCCTGCTGTTTCCCTTGGTTGAGCCGCCTGATCTCCTTCTCTTGGCTGCTCAGCTTCTGCATCAACTTCTGGATGGTGCGACAGGCCTGCTCGTGTATCCGCTCACGCTCCTTGAGCTGCTCCTGGGCCTCCTGAAGCTCGCACACCTTGTCAGCCAGTTGGGCGCCCAGCTCCTGCTTGCCCTGCAAGTGGATTAGAAGGAGAGAATCGCAAGGAATCAACACAAGATAGTTGGCTTAAGGATTCGCTTTAATAGAGGGTTCTCAGTAACAATCAGGGGGATGGGGGAAGGGAGGGAGGAGTATGATGGTGTGCAATGGATGGGATTCAATTTAATGGTCCTTAACGAGAAATTTGACGATGACAACTACCACGGAATGTGGGTAACATCTCAAGCGATAGCTAACAAGGATCAACGAAATCGAAACAAACGGGAGGGGGCGATGGCCAGCAACTGCATTGGCTGATTAAACGGAACATGGCGCCGCCATCCAATTGAGATGAAAACGAAATCCGAACAGGACCGCTTGCGGGACACATCGTGAAGCGTCATCCCGGTGTACAACTGGTAGATCTGCAGTCGCACCTCTTGGAGGGTCAGGGTAAGTAATGTGCTCCCCAGGGGCAGAGAAACTGCCGGAATCCAGTCAGGCTTGGCACCGAATAGTTGTAAAACGCAGTGCTGGGCGCAGCCACAGTTAGGAAAGTGGCAGCAGGACTGCCACACATCTGAGGCGGATGACTGTTGCTGATGAGCTGTGGACGATGGCTGTTTAGAAGCTGGACGCGGTATGGCATGAAGAGCGTCACCTGCCGCCGGCACATCCTCGGGCTCGTCGTCGGTTCCCGCTGATTGCTGCCCAAGATACTGATCGATGAGAAGTTGGAGTGCAATGAGGAACTACTGCCGCAACGATCAATAGAAGCTGTGATACCAACCCCGTTGTTGGTGGTTGTATCCACTGCTGCCGACCGCGAGTGCATCGGCTGGACAACTGCCACGCGCTCCATACGACGCAGCTGCTCCCTGGGCTGCAGGGTGTCGCTGAGGAAGATGTTCTCCTGCCGCATTATATCGAGTTCGGCGTTCTGTTTGGTGACCAGCTCCTCGAACCGCAGTACGCTGTCCAGCAGGCTGCTGCAGGTCTCTTCCTTCTGCTTGATGGAGCCCTTTTTTGGGATATTTTAGGAGTATAGCATGGGGATGTGGTAGAGGATGCACTCACTTCCAGTCGCTGAATGTCCTGGCGTTGTACCTCTATTATCCCGATAGCCTCCTTCAGGGAACCGTTCTTGCACGCCAGCTCCTTTCCTGCGGCATTGACGGCCTCCAACAGGCGCTCTTCCTCTGCTTGAGAGTGCTTCACCTTGGCCTTCAGCAGCGCCAACTTTTTCTACACGGTGAGTGGCCTTTAGCACCTCCCACACATACACACTCGCACCCCACATTGTCACAACCCTTAATCTAACCTAATGGGGGATTACTTTCTAGAAATACTTACGTTTGCTGCATCGCTGGCCTCGGCATTCAACTCAAGGAGCTCCACCATTTCGGCATTCTTGATGGCCAACTCCTCGATCTTGGCCTCGCAGGCGGTCAGCGATTCCAGGCGTTCGGCCAGAGTGAATTCCAGCTCATTTTGGGCCGCCGTATGGCGCTTGTTTGTCTCGAGAAGTTCTTCGTTCAGTTTTTGCACTTCCAACTCCAGGCGCCTGAGCTTCTGGAAGTCAATATTGTCGCCTGGTTTATTCGATGTTGCGAACTGTAAGAAAAAAAAAGTCCAAAATTATTTCAATTAGAGGGTTTATATTATTTATAGTTTATATTATAATATTATTATATTATTATCAACTTACTTCATATGCGCGTATCTGTTCCTGCAGTCCATCTATTATGGTCTGACTGTCGAGATCTGCCTTGCGCTGCTTCTCCTCATGGTGCGTAATGGCCCTGGCAGCATCCTTCAACAGCTCCATCTTCTCATCGACGGTTTTGCGCAGCATTTCGGCCTCGATCTTGGCATCGATTAGCTGCTTATTTAAGATTTCAATCGGAAGATTGCCACGACCGCTAGCCTGATTCTCTTCCATGAAGTAGATGCGCAGCTTTAGGTTAAAGTTCTCCTTGCGCAGCGTGGATATCTGCTCTTCCAGTTCGCGCACCGATCGGCCTTGGGCCAACATGGGCGAGTGACTGCCGCCCGGTGGTCGTGCCGCATCAAAACTGGCATCTGTAAGTAACGGAGACACACACAGAGATTATTATTTAAATTAGAAACTGCAAAAGAAGATATTGTTGACTAACTATGATGCAACCGTGAGGGCATTGAACGATTGTGACTGTGACTCATGGTTGTTTTTCAACCGCGTAGAAAATATATAAACTTTTCGGAAAAATTTCTGTTAACTTTATATGGGGTGTGTTGCCAAAACGAAATTGTGATTTTCTGTGACTTCCGGACAAAAGAAACCGAAACGTGGAACATTTTAATCAAGGCCTATTTGGATTTTAAAAAAATAAATCGAGTAGTTTTTTTAACGATTACTAATGTAATTTTATTGATTTAATAAAACTTTCTTTGAAATAATATATGAATAATAATTGGTATAGCCCAAAACCTTGATATATTTATACTGTAACAGTATTTAAAGCGAAAGTCTATATTACATTCTATATTTTTATGAACAATAAATAAAGTAATAATTTTAAAATATTTTTCTTTAGTATCGATGTTTCCTTAGAATCGTTTTCTTTTAATAAATATTATATCATTATACCCTTGCAGGGTATTATAATTTCAGTCAGAAGTTTGCAACGCAGTGAAGGAGACGTTTCCGACCCTATAAAGTATATATATTCTTGATCAGCATCAACAGCCGAGTCGATATAGCCATGTCCGTCTGTCCGTCTGTCCATCTGTCCGTCTGTCCGTCTGTCCGTCTGTCCGTCTGTCTGTTTCTACGCAAACTAGTCCCTCAGTTTTAAAGCTATCTGAATGAAACTTTGCATATAGTCTTCTATATACTCTCACTGCTATATATGTCGGAACGGGCCGGATCGGACGACTATATCATATAGCTGCCATACAAATGTTCGATAAATTTTTCGAAAAAAAATTATAACTTTGCTGTTTTTTAACATTTTTGCACCATTTTTTAGATATGGCCATTCTATATTATTTCTGAATTTTGGTAAAAATTTTATGAAAATCGGACGACTATATCTTATAGCTGCCATAGAAACGATCGGGAAATTAATAGGAAACAAATTATAACTTCGTTGTTTTTCAACGTATTTTCATCTACTCTGAGATATAAGCTTATTTTATTATTGTAGAATTTTGGTATAAATTTCATGAAAATCGGACAACTATATCATATAGCGGCCATAGGAGCGATCGGTAGATGTAGAGAAAATGTAAAGGTGTGAATGTAAAACTGTAACTGTCAAACTGTAAACATTATAAGTATAGTTGAAATGTAATGAAATAATATCTGCAAGGGTATACAAACTTCGGCGTGCCGAAGTTAGCTTCCTTTCTTGTTTTTTTACTAGGTCTAAAATCGATTTTACTTCCAGCTCCGATAAGATATTAAGCCCAGTATAATTTGTCGATATCCGTAATTCCCTTAATCAGCCCAACTTTGCTTAGATTTTTGTAATAATTATTAATGAAATATCGTTAACTATTAAAATTCCAACCAGAAAACTCGTTTATTGAAGACACAACTATCTAGAATCTTTTCCTAAGCCTTCCCCATCATCAGCTTCTATAAATAGTTTAGGTAAACGCCTACTTACATGAGTTCTCCATAGTGACATCTTGCAAGGTTCCCGGGGTGGTGCTGAAAATATAAAAAGGAAATCTGTTAATTGAGCACAATGAAAGCAGTTTTCGTCGTGACCTCGCCGAACCACAACCAATAAAACAAGCTGAATATATAAACGGTAATTAAGATTTTAATTTTGCATACACAAGTTAACATATTTTCGGCAGTGATGACATAATAACGGCCCGAGACTATCTCTAACAACCTATGACCTCGTCTGAGCATTCGGTTGTGGTATTGCCTGGTTGGAAGCACTCGTCAATGGCCTCCAAAGTGCCGTTGCAGAACTCCGGGTACACAGACCAGGCAGTCCAGCCCTGCTGCCGCTGGATGCGTTTGGCACACTGGACAGCCATTGTGATGTCCTCGCCCAACAGTCGTGTGCAGTTCACATTGCACTCGTTAAAGGCATGGTATTCCGTCTGATTTGGCGGTGCACACCAGTAACGATCGCTGATCTGGAAGAGTCCATAGTCCCGGGAGCCATCGTCATTGCGTTGGCCCACGACGTGCGTGTTGAAGCGACTCTCGAACTGGGCAATGCATAGCCACAGGGGCAGTTCCGATTTGGGGACATCGAGTATGTACAGCTGGCCGGCGAGTTGGCAGGGCGTGAGGCGAATGGCCAGCAGGGGAATCCCCTGAAAGAGGAACCACAGCAGCACCGGCAGTAGTACTCTCACTTTCCATCGGACCACCATTCCAAGTGAGTTCCAGTCACAAAGTGCTGGAGAAACTCCGGCCATCAACCAGGTATCAACAACCGAGTATCAAGCGATCTTGGCTAACGCTAGAGCTTAATCGGATTCTAGCAAACCGGTTTGCATTATTTGGCCCGGCTTTATGACTTAAATTGGCAATAAATACTGGAAAATCAACGGACAATGCAACAAAGTTTCATGTTTTCACTGCACTTTGGCACTGGCTACTATTTATATTCTGTTTGCTAACTATTCATTAATGCCATATACGAATAAATCAAACTGGAAGTGATCTTAATTTTTATTTTGAACATTCTATAGGCTAATTAAGCAACTCATCTCAGCTTTGTCTTGCTTATTATTAAGCAATTCGGTGAGGCGTGAAAATGATTGATTTCCTTCTCTGCTAAATTGGAGAATTTTAAAGGCGTAAGAAGTGAAAATATAAGCTTATTAAAGTAAGCACGCCTTTGTAAGATATATACTGTAAATAAAATTTTAGTATTCTTTAATTAAAATCAATGTAAATCAATAGATTACATGGCGACCGTGACAGAACACCCTGCAATTTTTGCATATTCATTTAAAAAGCAAGAAACTACATACCGAATTATTCTTAATAAGAAAATGGAAAGCCAATCATATATTCAGACAAGTTATATAATTATATTTCAAGTTCAGCTATATATTCACTTAAATTTAATCTTTATCTCTTGAAAACCCTTCACAAAAAACATTTAAAATACAATGAAGCCACCAAAAGTTTCCTCGACAATACGATCCACACTGTACTGTTCTGTTCTTTCAATTATAGACACACCCAGTTGCCCAAATGGGCAGCAATAAAGCTCTTTTTTATGTATTTTTCTTTTTGCTTTTGGCAAATTGCTCTGTGAACTACATTTTTCAGACAATGTCACACTCGAACGATCGCACTTCCAAAAACCACAAGTCGCAATGGATGAGATTACACTTCCGCGCCTTAAATCCGCCGTGCGACGGCTCTGGGAAGTGGGATGAGCAATTAGCCCCGTCACAGTGAAGCCTGCTCATGGCAAATATATACAGTGATACTTACCAGAATGTTCCGTTGCCCGAGTTCAGCGAGTATCGCTTGAATGGAGTGCCGCCAGCATCGTTTGAGTTGTTTAGAGAGGTAGATCGAAATATACCCGCCATATTTTATGTTTCATTTAGCATTTATGCGCTCTTGCTCGCATTTATTCTCCTTTAGATTCGGATTATTTATATTACAGCGACTCTACATTTGAAATTTAATTAGTTGTTTTTATGCACCGCGGACACGTCACCATCGCAGGTCGTAGTTGTTGCTGTTGTTGTTGTTCTTGGCTTTATTCCCTAAATACTTTTGCGGCGCACGCCAGACTTCGTTACGTATCCGCCACGTTGCCGTCTTCCAAGGGGAGACAGCCATGAGTCATCGGCTGCTGCTGCTGCTGCTGCCGGCTGACGACGTGCAATCAGGAGCAGTCATCCGTACAGCGGAAGAGGCTTCAAAGAGGCTTCTTCTGGCTGCGTTCCTACAGATGGGATTCGCCCTGGGCTGGGATGGGATCGAACGGATGGCACATGTGGGCCACCATCCGTGCTGCACATCTCGAGTGGGGTACGTGTACACACACTCGTGCACACCTCTTCTGGCCGCAATTTATTTTGGGAATTGAGCAAATTGCAAAAAGTCACCGTGAAAGAGCCACCGACCGCAATACAAGAACTGCAGCCGTTCACCGGGACGAGAAAACTCTGCCAAACACTTCCACCAAGTGCTTTGTTTTGGCTTTTTCGGCGCCGTTACTATGGCGGTAATGAAAATCAATGGATTAAGTTCGGTTGAGGTGGGAGGTATAACCAGCTGGACAGACAACAGGTGGCTCTTTGGAAACGTGTTAGAACATGTGTCTCTTTATTTAGCACCTGCACTCTATACCGTTGATGCGTTTTATGGCACTTGTGGCGGCAGGTAAGCAGCAGTTAACAGCCCATTTTCACCTCACCGCGAACCTGAACCTGTACCGACTCTGTCTGCGCTCATCTACCTGTCCGCCTGGCGCGTCTCGAGTGGGTGTCAAACTATGGCCAATGACATACAAAGGCGCCTGCAGTATTCAACAAAGAAGTACAATAACAATAAACAGAAGTGCCGAGGAGCATATGTACTGTATATCTTTGTAAACTTTACAGTGATAAGCGAGGGAAGAGTGAGATCAATATTGTAATAAAGGAAATATCTAGACTGAAATTAAGCTCTTGTCTTGATGTAAACAAATTACCATATTTTTTTTAGAAGTATTTTTAAGTACTTATTGAATATTTCTATGGTAAAAACCTTTAAATAATAATCTAAATATATGAAAAAGATACGTTTGTTTGAAGAACGTTCTCTATAGATACATTTTATGTATTCCTGAAATATGTATTTTATTTGTAAATATTCTTGGGAAGAAAGTTGTTTTTTAGAATTCAAATAAATTTATCAATATCAATGTTGACCAAGAGAAAATAAAGATAAAGCCTCAATGAAAACTTATTCATAGATAAAAAACGAACGAAAAACGTATGCATTTAGGGTTTAACTTTTTATGACTAATCAAAGTCAGTAATGATAAGTGAAAATAAATGAATAACCAATACATTTGGGCAGGAAATACCACAACAATTATACAATCGGTATGAATTCAGTAAAAACCACAACTTTAAGGGCATTTATTTAATATTCATATTATTCTTTGTAATGAAAACAAACGCTAAATGACGCCTCAAAAAATATATCCACGTACGACCCTCCGCTACTGTACTTTACAGGGCAGGGATGCTCTGCGAGGGCAGGGATGCTCTGCGAGGGTAGGGAATGTTGCAGTTTCGAAGGCCAGCTAAGAGGTGAATTTGTACTTTACTAAACCGTTTTCGTACACCATAGGGGTTAATTCCCTGAGTCCATGACCCCTGAATGCACGTGTGTTTGTGCCTGTGTATATTTAGCACACACACAGAAAAACATCTGATAAGGCGACGACTTATGGGGAAATGATGATGATATGCAGGAGGGAGGCCTGTGTCGATGGAAATGTGGCAAGAGTAGACTCTCAATTCCACAAAATAAATTAATTTCTATACTTTTCCGCGACTAAAATTAGCCGCAGCATCGCTGGCGACAAAAGCCATGGGAAATCAACAGTAGCACGAGCAGCAGCAACAACAACAACAACCACAATAGGGGGGCACCAACACAGAGACAAAAATATCCAAGTATATTACATTGTGTACATTCGAGCACACTTTTTACACTTCTTACATATTTTCTATTCCGTTTTATTTTCACTTGAGAGCCTGCAGCATCCCATACATCTTGTATCTGCGACGAGCGTTGCAAGCAACAAATACGAATCAATCTATCACTTTAGTATCTTTGTAAACAATTGCAATCACATATATGTATGTACATAACGTATGTACAATCCACCGCTTGACCCGCTGATTGTTCCTGCGTATTTACATATGATTGTGTGTACGAGAGAAAGAGTGTGTGTGTATATATGGCACGAGTGATAGGCGGAGAGGCAAGCAAAATAAATAAACGGAAAATGCTCTTTTTATACGTCCAAATAAACCGAAAGCCAGAACATAACTGACTGAAACAGCGATGCGACCCGATTAAGAGAGAGCGCGCTCCTACTGCTGCTGCGGGCATGCGAGAGGGAAAAACCCCCAGAATCATCTGCTCGGGCAAGGAAAATGCGCTCAGCAGATGTTACGCATTTTCCACTGCGGAATAGCCTTAAGGGGGTGCACGGTGAAAAATAAGAACTAGAAGAGCTAAAGGCCAGAATGTAAAATGTTTGGAAACTACATTTAAATACATCAATTAATCTTAAATCACAAATAAAATATATTTTACTTAATAATAATGAAATCTTTATGCTAATCTGGCTAAAGACTGTGTATTTATAGTTAAATTTTTGAATTTATGCTTGCAAACTGGAGGACCACAACATGCAGAAAGTTATCCGTTAAGAGTAATTTTAGTAGCCACATTGTCCAAATCGTTTCTGAAAGAAAAAAATTATATTTACTTTCTCCAAATATATGGTAAATTTTGCTACTCACGTGTATTTTAATAAACCAAAATCTTTGATTATTTCCACGAAATTTTAATTTCCAAGAATTAACAAAATATTTCTACCATAAGTGCAGATGGTTTCGGTCAAACATCCACATAAAAGAGCACTTTACAGAACAAATTTATATTAAAAAGTGTAACTAAATTTTTCCCAGTGTACCATAGTGGCTTATGCTCTCTTAAATTTGTTTTGGGGTGGGTATCAAGTACTTATTGTTTGGCTGTATTCGTGAGAATGCCTCCCCCAATGAGGCGGAACGCTGCGATGATCTCGGAGAGCTCCGGCGGAGAGCGTTCATTGCCGATCACAGTGGGCACCGTAGCGGTCTCATATGTTAATCATCTGCTGCGCAGGCGTTTCGTGTTTTTGTTTATATATTTCAACTCTTATTGGTTAGTGGTTATGTTTATGCTCTCGCTTTCTTTACTCACTCATCAATGCTCTTGGACAGAGCCTCCGCCAGCTTTCGAAGCACCTTGCGGTCAATTTCGGAGGCGCCGTGCTCCTCCAGGAAACTGGTCACCGTCTCAATCAAGGTGATTTCCCGCAAGGACGAGGCGCAGGTGCCGTTCCCGTCGCCGCAGTAATCCCTTAGAACCTGCTTAGACTGGTCCATGGCTGGCTGCAACTTAATTTCTCAGTTTACACAGTCAATTTAACACTTTCACAAAGGACGCGGACAATTAGTTTTTTTTCTTTTTGGAAAATTAAGCGCGCTTGACAGCTGTTTTCAGCGTCGGCGTCTGCCGAGGTCTATCGAAATGCAACCCTGTGCTTAGGTCGCTGCCAGATCGCAGGAATCGGATGACACGGCGAGGTGGCAACGCCACTGCAAGTGCTACGAACCCCCGACTTGGACCGTTTACAAAAATTTACATTCCTCTGATAAGCAACTAGCACACGGCGGCCATAGATATAAAGCCATGCTATAAACGCTCCGGGGGCACGTTTTCGTCAGCCCGAAAAATAGAAACCAGTCCGATTCCAATCGCTGCGCTGGGTGGGAACAGCGACTGACAGGAGGGACGACACCGTAAGAAAAAAACAGTGACTGAGTGGGAAAAGCTCCCCGTAAGTAACAGCAACAATGTTCGCTACACTGAAAAACAAAATCAAGGAAGAGACCGGTGAGGATGTGGCCAATGCGGCCAATCAGCCGCATCAGCGCAACAACAACAATTACCGGCTACGTAGCCGCCGGGTCAGTGTCAATTCCAACTCCGCTGATGATGTGGGCGGTGGCGGTGGCTTATACAGCGAGGTAAGCAAAAACCAGTCTATTTGTATGTACATATCCCAAACTGAGGAAAGAATGTAAACAAACTGTTGTATTTTTCTCGCAGTCGGAGCAACTGTGCCAGCTGCGGAGCCAGTGCAATGAGCTCACCACCAAGGTGTCCACCATCACGCAGGGCATGCACCAACTGCAGGAGGAGAAGACGCGGGTGGATAAGACCAACGAGATTCTGCTGGAGAGTGTGCGCGTGGCCCAGACGCAAAAAGACATGTACTGCGAGGAGCAGGAGAAGATCCAGAATCTGCAGCAGATCGAGATTGATAAGCTAAAGAACCTCCTGAGCTTTCGTGAGCAGGAGTCCGTGGATCGCATGGGTGCCATGCGCCAGCAGAGCCAACAGATTGAGTCCCTCACCGAAGAGCTGGAGCGCCTGCGACCCATGGAGTCTATAGCCGAGGATCTGCGGGACGAGCTCGAGCAACTGCGACACTCCACGCAGCAGGAGAAGAACCTGCTGACCACCACGCTGGCGACGGTGCAGGAGGAGAATCGACATCTCAAGAAGCGCATGAAAATCGTGGAAGAGTCGCGTCTGGAATCGCTGGGCAAGCTAAACTCTGAGCAGCAGGTGCAGGCCTTCATCCGGGAGCACAAGCTGCTGGAGCAGCACCTGGAGGAGGCGCACCTGCAGCTATCCGACATCAAGGGCTCATGGAGCGGCCAGAATCTGGCGCTAGAGACCCAGGTCAGCCGGCTTTCCAAGCAAGTGGCCGAGGAGACGACCGAGAAGCGTAAGGCTCTCAAATCCCGCGACGATGCCATCGAGAGCCGCAAGCAGGTTTCATTTGAACTCGAAAAGGCCAAAGACGAAATCAAGCAGCGTGACGATAAGGTGAGTATCCCGGCATTTCCAGACAGATCAAGGAAAGCTTAACCCCTCTTAATGGTCCAGGTCAAGCTGCTGGAAGAGGAAATCGACGAACTGAGCGTGTCCCTGAAGGAGTGCCGAGAGGAGAACGAGCAGCAGATCCTCTTTGAGCGCAACAAATCTGTGAGTATGCCACCCGATGATGACGATTTCCATTGGGACTTGTAACACTCACTAACAACAACAGTAAAACAATATAACTAAACACTGACTAACCACTGAGAGTTCCTACCTCAACAACGCCTACACCTACTTTGTACATTTCGATTATAAATGTTTTCCTTTCTGTTATTAAACTGATTTTGAATCGTTGGTAAAACTGATTGGTAACTTCTTTCCTTGAACAATGCACGCCACTATATGTTTACCCACTCCTAAAACCCGTTCCCAAATTCCGTTCAACGGAGTCCTTGTAAACGTAAAAATATAAACCAAAAATGTTCTCAGCAAACTCTGGAGACAGAGGTAAAAGATCTCCAGACTCGTCTCACGGCGGCCGATGACAGGTTCACCGAATACGCCTCCAATGCCGACCAGGTTACCCAAAAGCTGCGCACCCAGGCGGCCGAGAAGCAGGAGCAGCTGGACGAAACCATTATGCAGCTGGAAATTGAACGAGAGGAGAAAATGACTGCAATACTCCGCAATGCGGAAATCTCACAGAGCGAAGACATACTGAGGCAGCAGCTGCGCTTGGAGCGCAGTGAGGCCACCGATCTCCAGGACAGGAATAACCAACTCGAACGAGATATAAACGAAACCCGACAAACGCTGCAGCAGGTCAGCAGTATAGCGCAAGAAAATGCTCAGAAATTGGCCGACTTTGAGGGAGTTCAGCTGGAGTTGGTCGAGAAAAACAAGGTGAGAGAGATGGTTTATTAAGCTTATAATTATAATTAACCAATAATTATTTTATTCTAGACAATAAAGACCCTAAATCAGCGTTTGGTTGACCTTAAAAAAACCGTGCAGAAGGAATTGCGCAGCGCTCAGATTTCGACAGACAATGATTCGCATCCCATAACCACTCCCGGCCAAAGACATACCATCACCAATCTGGAGACATTTCCATCTGGCGGTGACAAGGGCAATAACTGCATCATAATGGACGAAGTTAATTTTCAATATTTGAAACACGTCATCGTAAAGTTCTTGACCAGCCGCGAGGTGTGTAGTCTCATGGCATTTCCCTAAAAAAAATAATCAAATTGAAAATTTCTGTTCCATCAGGTGGAAGCACGACATCTTGTCCGTGCCGTCTCCACGCTGCTTCAGCTGACATCCGAGGAGGAGAAGCTGCTGCACGACACTCTCAACTGGAAGATGAGTTGGTTTGGCGTGAAGCCAACCTGAAACCCAAACCAAACCAAAACCCCATGCAATAAATCACATTTGTATTTCTAGTCTGTAGTCAATTCCATAATGTTTCGTGTAATATGTACATACCAATTACATACGCAAGAGCACTGTGTTATTTTATTTACCGACAAACATTCCATTTTGTTAAATAGTATTTATTTGTACCGTTGTGATTTTTATAAAAATAAAAGTAACATTTATGTAAGTTACGTTTTGTGATCTTTAGAAGTGGGGAGAGGTCCACGGTTCTTATATGGAATCATAAGCTTTTTGCTTATCGCACATACATTGGAAATTCATCGATTTATTTCGATAAATTCACCCCTACTCACCATATCGCAAATTCCCCCAAAAAAGAAACTCCATTATATTTAATTTTGTTAAAAATACTGCATTTTACATTTAAAAATATTGTTTTGTTGCATGTTTCGCTTTGTTTACAAATTACGTCTTCTAAAATTAACTATAAATATGCATTTACCTTCATTTAATTATTGCAAAAACCTACGTCGTATGAATAACTAACTATTCGTTTGTATTATCTATGAATATATATATAAATGATATAGGAGAATTTAAGAGTAAACAATAAGAAACACACACGCATATTACTGAGGCACTTTTTGGTGTTTATAACAATTAAGAAGACAGTTTGTTAGTCGCAGATATATGTCAATATTGCTTTCGTAAACGAATTAACTATTTACACGTTATTAACTAAGTCTAGGGTTAAATGCGTTGAAACAAAGTATGTAATAATATGTAGGTTCTGTCTGATTTTGTCGGAAAATTTGGCACACGGAATTACAAGAGACTTATCAGCGAATATTATGATATATTGTATTATAGACCTAAGGTAATTGCTAATAATTGCAATACGTTTACAAATTACAAAAAAAAATATTAAGAAAGTAAACTGCAGTCTATTGTGGTTGTACTGCCTTCTAATTCGGTGTATCTGGCAAAATGAAACTTGACGAGATCTCAGATAAGTCCTTCAGGCAGGGACGCTCTCTTTAAGCTACGATTAAAATTAGTTAAAGCCTTAAATGACCAATTAAACACACGTACATATTTACAAATCATCAGTGGTAGAAATTAAAGTTTCGAAAATCATAATAATAATAATTAATAGTACTAATTATAAAAATAATAATATTAATAGTTAATAATAGCTAATGATAAAATTCATAAAAGGAAAAGCTCGGCACAAAATGGGCATAGCGACATATCTCCGCCAAGTACATAGTCTCCGCGCGGTATTATGTCGCTATAAAACGGCATATTTCCTCAGGTTTATGTCGCCACCCCCACAAAATGATATGTTTCTAGCTCCCCTTCACGCCTTACATGTAAATCTCAAAATGTTACGTGAAACCGCGACTTGGCGACTGCACCGGTGACGGTGGCGGTGGCAGCGGGGAGAAGTACGTGGAGCTACGCGACGACGGCGATGGCGGGCACGAGGACTCCGGCACAATGCGCACATCGCTGTGGTAGTGCGATCGCGGCGTCGGCGGCGGTGGATACGGCTCACTGTCGTACCCGTACTGCAGGCAGGCGGCCGCCGAGCTGGAAGAGTGCTTCGTGGCGCCCCCGTTGCTATTATTGCTGTTCGATTTGCTGGTGTAATTCGAGTCCGATTCGTCGCAAATGTCCGTGGAACATGGCGTGGGCGGAGGCGGTTGGTTGATGATCTTGTAGTGCCGGTACGGACGTCGCGACCTGGTTGCCGGCGATGGCGGTGGATTGATGGGATAGGCCACCATGCTGCTGCCATTTGTCGTCGAACTGGACGCTCCAGTGATGTGATTGCGATCGTACGAGTTCATGCTGTTGCGCGAATTAAGCGTGGACATACGCACGGCATCTGCCACAGAGGCAATCTTCGATACCCGCTGGGATTTACTCAAAGTCGACGGGGATAGGGGATCCGAAGCCTGATCGTCCTTGGGTTCCGTTCGGCTCTTGCCTATTCGCGTCCGGCAGAACTGCAGCAGGTAGACGATGGAGAAGATGGTGATCATGGTGGCGCCAATCAGGATCATAAAGGCGCGCTTGTCCGAAGCTGGAGCCATGCGACGCTTCATGCAAATGTCTGAGGATTCATCGGCTCCGTCGGCACAGTTTTCCCAGCCATCGCACAGGAGAGCGGCAGAGATGCAGAGCTAAAAAAGGATGATTTATAATTTAATTTAATTTATAATTTCATTTGCTGTTTTTATACCCTTGCAGGGTATTATAATTTCAGTCAGAAGTTTGCAACGCAGTGAAGGAGACGTTTCCGACCCTATAAAGTATATACATTCTTGATCAGCATCAACAGGGGAATCATTCTAGATATGTCAGGAAGAAATTGATTTTTTGGCCATTTTTGCGAAATTTGATAAGGGGTTACATCATTAAAATTAGCAAAAATGGCCAAAAATTTGGATTTCTTAAAATTTTAAATTTGGTATGCAGTTTTTTTAAATTAATAAAAACTAACACAAAACTGCTTTCCGAATCGAAATTAATGCATTTTTGGCTTAGTTGTCTGCAAGGGTATACAAACTTTGACTGGCCAAAGTTGGCTTTCTTTCTTGTTATTAATATTTTCGCTCACCTTATTGATGGGACACTGAAACTCCCCTGGCCTCTTGCAGCAATCCGCCTCATCATGACCATTGGCGCAATTGGTGGTGCCATCGCACACCAACGACTTGTCAATGCACTCGCCCGACTGGCAACTAAACTGATCCGCCCGGCAGGTGGGACATCCCACCTCGTCCGACTTGTCGGGACAGTCCTTCTGCCCATCACAGCGCCAGGAGGCGGGTATGCAGTCCTTGTTCACGTCACTGATCCCTGAAACGGGAGCGGCGCACGTAAAGTGATCCGGACCGCAGGCGGGAAAGGCGCCGCAATTCTCCTTGTCCTCCAGCAGCATCAAATGCTTGGGGCAGGAACAGACATCGCGGGTACGTGCCATACCCTCGCCACTGGCTATGCAGATGTGCGAGCACTTGGTGCGACTATGCAGGCAGGTGTGATTGCGCAGGACCTTGGGATCCGGTGTCCAAACGGCACGTATATCGGTGATCTGCGGCAGACGCTGCAGTTCGGCGGAGCGACGTTCACCGGTAACGGTGATGCGTTCAACCCCGGTCTTGTCGTCCAGCCAATAAACAAAGCCCCCAAGGGCAGCTATGTTGATCACCTGGGAGATGTGCATGGAAACCAGGGTTTTCCTAAGAGAAAACAATAATTATTTTAAAGATATTTCCAGGGAATATTATCTTATCCAAAACTCACTTGTTTTTGCCATTGATATCGATGGCATCTATACGCTTGCCATGCGCATAGTAGATCATATCCGACTGCTGATCCAGGGCTAGGGCCGTGACTCCCTCCAGCTTGTAGGCCAGTTCTACGCGCTCATTGCCATCGACACGGGCTCGTATAATGGCCTGGTGACTGCCGACATCTGTCCAGAAGAGCAGGCGCTTCATGGCGTGCACGGCAATGTTGCGAGGCTTCTCCGAGTCCCCGGTATCAATGACGCCCACAGATTCACCCAGGAAACTGGAGGTTTAATAAGTAATACATATAATTATAGAGAAAATATCTAGGGTGTTGTTGTATACTCTTACCTCGTCACATTAATACTGTTGGAGTGGGAGCAGGTCCAGAAAAGCAGGCGTCCTATGATGTCAATGGCCAGGTCAAAGGGCTGTCCAGAGTTGGCCAGCAGGCTAACTTTGGTGCCGTTTGCCAGAGATCTCTTAATGCTGTGACTTCTGCCCTCAATCTGGAATTATTTCAGCAAAATTAATAAAGAGTTTTCTTCAGTCCAGGCTTATCTTACCCAGTAAATGTAGTGACTGATGGGATCATAGTCTACAGCGCGTATATTCTTCCCTGAAACAGGCAATGGGATATTGGGGCAATCTGTGGTGTTGGGCAACAGACGCCCGAAGCTATTCCTCTGGCTAAATATTATGTAGTTCTTGGGAGGAATGCAGGAGACCCCGTCCTTGGCTAGTTGGTAGTGTGTGGGGCAGGCGCAGGTCATGCCACGTCTTCCCGGCGTGGCCAGGCACAGATGCGAGCATCCGCCGTTGTTTACCTTGCAGGGATTCACGCCCGTCTGGCGCTTGTCGTTGAATACCAGCAGCGAGGTGATGTACGTCATGCCCGAGTGCACCAGGCTGCGGTTCTGACCCGTCGTCTTGTGCACTCGCTCAATGTCGCCGGTGTTCCAGTCGCTCCAGTACACATAGTCCTGGTACAGGGATACTGCATACGGTTCGTCCGTGTCGCTGCCTACAAGGATCTGCCGCTTTTTACCATCCCAGTCGGCGCTTTCGATCTTTGCCGGTCGCGACTGGGTGGCCCAGTAGAGGCGTCGCGTCTCCTGGTCAAAGGTCAGGCCAGAGGCATGATTGGCATTTGAGACAATGGTTTGCATATCGGTGCCATCCATCGCAGCTCGTCGAATCACGTCCATGGGCGATTCTGTCCAGTACATGTAACCACGACGCGGCTCTAGAACCAGGGAGCGCGGCTCCTCCACTCCCTTCCACAGGAGCACCCGTCGACTGGTGCCATCCAAGCGGGCAACCTCAATGCGACGCGCCTCCGCATCCGACCAGTAGATATTGTTGGCCAGCCAGTCCACAGCAATACCGTCTGGCTGACTCAGCCCAGAGTCTACAATCCTCTGAACATAGGAGCCGTTCAGGAATGCCCGGAAGATGCACTTGCTCTTCTGGTCCGTCCAGTAGATTCGCCTCTCCGCCACCGACACATCCAAGGCATGAGCATCGCGCACATCCTTGAAGGGAATCCGCTCGTCGTTGTGGTTGCCCTCGTTGTACTCGATGGAAATGCGACCGATGTGCTCCTGGCGCGAGAACAGCAGGAAAGCGGCCGGAATCACGCATGTGCGCTTGTCATTGGCCAGCTCATAGTCTATGGCACAGCGGCAGACGTAGTCTCGCGGCCGGTTAAGGCACAGATGCGAGCATCCGCCGTTTCTAACCGCGCAGGCATTCTCCCCCTTGACCTCCCTCAGGCGTGTGACCTTTAGACCCATTAGATCAGGATACTGATCGACCACCACGATCCGATTGTTGCCTGTGATTTTGTGGGCTCGGTCAATGGAGCGACGCTGCCAGTCCGTCCAGTACAGGTAGTCGTCGAGGATGCTCAGTCCAAACAGATGCTTCAGGTTGTCGCTGATCACGACTCGGCGGCCCGAGCCATCCATATTGGCCACCTCGATCTTATCCGTCTTGCCGTCACACCAATAGATCGTCTTTGCTTCGATGTCCAAGGCTATGCCATTGGGCCAGCCAAGATTCTCGGATACCAGAACCACGCGCTCGGATCCATCCAGAGAAGCTCGCTCCACCTTCGGCTTACGCTCATTCCAGTCGCTCCAGAACATCCAGCCCAAAGATGGGGCCACGGCAATGGCCCTGGGTTCCTCTAGATGCTCATAGATCAGCACCTTTCTTGCTGAACCATCAAGGCGGCAAACCTCTATCCGATCTGTAGACGTGTCCGTCCAGTAGAGATTGCGTGCCAGCCAGTCCAGGGCCAGACCATCGGGATGCCTCACCTCGGACGTAACAAAGTCCATCACCGCAGTGCCATCAGCATGAGCCCTCTTGATCGTAAACGTCTCCACGTCGGACCAGTAGATGTGCTCCTCCACGGGATCGTAGTCAATGGCTATGGCATACCTCACCTTGCCCAGGGGCAAGGGGAATATAGTGTAGTCCGGTGAGTCAAGGGAGATCTTGCTGATTTGAGTCCGCTGGACGATGAACAGCATTACCTGGGGGCCATTGGCACAGGTGTTGTCAGATACCAACTTGACGCCCGTGGGGCAGGCGCAGCTGAAACCCTGCGAGTTGGTGGCCAGCAGGCACAAATGCGAGCAGTTGCCATTATTGTGGGCACAGGGATTATCCTCGTAGGGCTGCAGTGAGGGATCCCAAGCTCTCACGGAATTCGGAGCCTTGGGCGTATCTATTAGCTCCTTCAGTTCTCGGGTCTGCAAGTCCAGGGCATTTAGAGAGCCCCTCTGCCAATCCGTCCAGTACAGGCGATCATCGTAGAAGGTGAGGCTGAACGGATACTTCAGATTATTGACTATCGTCCGCCGACTGCTCCCGTCTAGCCGCATCACGTCGATGAAGTGATGTTTGCCGTCCGTCCAGTAGATGAGCTCGTTCTTCAGATCCACAGCCAGACCATTGGGCCAGAACACATGATCCTTGACCAGCGTCATTCGCGACAACGGATCACCGTCCATGCTGGCCCGCTCGATCTTCGGATACTCTCCCCAGTCCGTCCAGATGAGCAGCTTCCGGGCTGGCACCACTGCCACCGCTCGCGGTTGGTCCAGGTCCGTCCAGAAGAGCACCTTTTGATACCGACCATCCAGCGTGGCCACCTCAATCCGATTCTTCTCGCCATCCGTCCAGTATATCTTGTCCGTATACCAGTCAATGGCCAAGCCCTCGGGCTTGTCCAGACCCGTCGATATCACAGTTTGCTTGGGCGCCCGCAAAAGTGGCTGCAGCGCCGAGGTGTTGGTATGGGCACACTCGATGATCTCCCGGCCGCAATCCGTCCAGCAGACCAGATTCTTGGCATAGTAAAAGTCAATGGCCATGGCCTCGGCCAGATCCCGAACGATCACATCGATCTGTGGTCCGCCCGTGGGCCTTGTTATGTTTGCCACCTGGATGTCATGGCGGGTGGTGAAGAGCAGGGTAGCCGGCGTATTTACAAATGCACTGGCCGGTGTGTTGGCTATTAGGGACGAGGAGCTGGGTGCATGAACTGGAAATAGAGGGGAAAATAGTTTATATATTAGTTAATGGAATGGAATAGGGAATGGTTAGATAAATAAATAATAATTATATATAATAAATTAACATTGATAACATAGATTGACAAAATTTTATAATATCGCAGAACCAGGTACCGGAGAATACTTTCTTAATGGGTTGAACTCGAATCCATCCTTGCACTTTTATATACTTCCAGAGATAACCATAGCTCCCTCCTCACATGAATTATAATTTGTTGTCTTCATAGTCAGACCCACTCTAAACATTTTACCGCTAAGAAAACCTAGCAGGATTGGCATTTCTAATTACCAAATGCCATATTCTAGCAGAGGCATACGGGTGCAGCATCCATCAAGAATTAAATAAGCAACAATGTTCCCCAGTATTGCGGCAGTAGTAAATGGCGAATGCTAAATGAATTCGCAACTACGCCCAGGCACCAGCAGCAGCAGCTAAAACAACTTGGCCAGGTCTCTTTTGTTAACCATTTATGTGCATTTGCATGTGCATATGCATGTGCACTTGTGCACGTGGGCGGATGATGATGGATATGGAGGCCACTATGAGCTCTAAGCTCCAAGCTGCAGCAAGCAGCAACTGCCAGCGCTGATCTAATTGCGTATGAATAAGCGCACGGAGGCGCGCCAGGTGGAACAAAATTTTCATATGGTTACTTACAAGGTAACAGTCACTGCAAATACCCTGAAAGTAACTTCTATTACATGCTAAAAAATTTAATATTTAAACTGAATAAGATGTAGAAACATAATTAAAAAGATTCCAACATAGTTTAGGCATACATGAGCTTAGATTATTAAATCGAAAAAGGTATATAAGCCAAATTGTTACAAGAATATCTCGCTAAATTGAAATACTTTTCCGAATTTTACGCATTTTTCCACTGCTATTTTTAAGTGAGCTCCACTTTCCGTGGCAAAATGCTGACCCACAAGGCAAACAGGAGGAGGAGACGGAAGAGCAGCAGCTGAATCCTTATCCCCCGACCTGCTGTCAGCGCGACAGGCATTTGCAATATTTATGCAGCCGGGGCCGGAGCGGGCTCTCGAGTAATCCATCAAGACCGGGGAGAGTCAGCAGAACAGAAATGGTGACATTTTGCAAAGTGGGTGGGTTGCTTCGTTGCCTGCCCATATAAGCCATGGTTTTCACCTGGCTGCCTGGCTGGCAGCAACAGGATTTATGTGCCAAGTGTGCAAAATCAACAATATTTACATACATCCCGCCCGGAGGCCATATGCCACTGGCGTGCGGGGTTAAATGCTTGCCCAGCTTAGCTCTTCTGGAAAATGTTGGTTCGATAATAGTGCTACTAATGCCGCAATCCGATATAGCCTTACATACGGCTATAATGTGCAGCGTAATCCCTGGATGCTGACAATGGGAATACGAATACGAGATGCTGGGGAATGACGCTGCTGGTTGGTTGAGGAGGATGCAGCACTTAACTGCAAATCCTTGTATATTATTCACATTTTTTTATGCTCCTCCGCAGACGGCAGTGAAGCGTTAAGAAATCAACATCATTACCAACAAAAACAAAAATAAAAACAAGAACCAAAACAGCATCATGAGCAGCAACAAAAACAACATCAGCAGACATGCTCATCAAGTCGAGTACCGGAGCCAAGAAGGGGAGTCACCCGAACAACCATCTCGGTGGGTTTCCTCTACACTGGGGGAAAAGTAGTTTAAAATAAGCGTATTTTATAGAATTATTTCCTAAAGCTTCTACATAAGGAAGAGGTCAAGGACCGCATAATCTTCGAATAAAAAATACAATAAACAATTAATTTACCATCAAAACAGCTATATTTTATACCAGAAGTTTTAGATAACCTTTTAATCTTTATATACAAAATAAAATATATTATTTAAATTTTAAATACCCACCAGAGATTATTTTAAAGTCCCCTGATAATATTATAATGCAAATTTCTGGACATTTTAATAATACCCAGGCGAAAACAATTAAAACAAAAAATACCACAGCTTAAAAATTGAACATAAAATCACCCCTTCTCCTTCTATTCCTTCCCCATATTTTAATGAAAACTTTTCCCTCAGTGTAAGCACACACACTCGACCGAAATTGAAATGCAGACGAAGCCAGAGATGGAACCGTGGCGTAACCCGTTGATTCCTCCTGCCTGCACTTCATTCAAACTTGGGAAAATATTTTAATTATTAATGTATACAACTGGGGTCGGGCTGGGCTAGCCTGGGCTGGGTCGGGACAAGAGGCCTGGCCTCCTCCGGCTTCTGCTCCTGCTCCAGCGGGAGTTGGAGTGGGCTGGGAGCTGCAGCCGTAGCCGAGGGTATAGAAATGGGCAACGGATGCGCATGTGAATGATGATGCGGCTTGACGATTGGCACTGGGTGGCATCGGTTTCAGTTTCGGTTTGGTTGGGTGGTTAATGGGGTTCTGGTCTCCTGGCTGCCACTTCCTCTCGCCCGTAGCTTGTGGCAAAATGGCATAATTCGGATGACCGAGTCGACAATTTCAACGCCACGGTGCAGGTCGACCTGGTCCAGGACCAGGACCTCGGCACTGCCAGCAACAACTGCACTTAAATGCTAAATGAGTGCAAGTGCTGTTATTGTTAGCCTACTGGAGCGGGAAGGGAATAGGGGAAACGCTACGAATCCGGTGGTGGATGATGGTGGGTGGCAGAAAACTTTAAGTGAGCACTGGCATCAGGATGTTGCCACTCCGCTGCCTCCATCCGACCCCAACACTGGCAACACTCGAGTCCTGCGCCACAGCGCTGTCTCGCTCCTCGTCGCACTAGTTGCAACGGAAGTTGCAGCTATTTAAATGTGTTGAAGAGCTTCTGGCCGGGCTAAATAGGCAGCTACCAGCCGGTAGAATAGCACAACAGTTCACCAGTTGGCAGCCAGGAAAGCTGGCTTCCAGCATCCGTATGCTGCTCATGGTCCTTCTGCTGGTGCTGCTTCTGCTTCTGCTCCTTCTCCTCCTCCTGCTGCATCCAATTGCTGTAGTTTTTGCTGCTCACATTTTGCATGCGCGCTCATTGTTGTACTTGTTGTTGGCTAGGGACAGAGTTCACCGAGTTACACTTGGAAAAATTAAGGTAATAAGACCAATAAATTCATACCAAAACTTAGGATTAGGTTTATTAAAAGCACAAATAACGAAATCCCCTACACCCTAGAGGTACTCCATGTAGCTACTACTTATACAAAATCTAGGATCGGTGATGTGAATTGTCGATTATGTAGGCCACCAGCACCATGTCGCGCAGTTCTAACGTCACTCGGCCGCGATGACGGGTGAGCAAGTAGGCGTCCTCGAAACGATTTGTTACATAAAGCTCCGACGACTCTTGCAGCACCCCCAACGCACTCTCGGTGATCCTTAACGTCGGAGAGCTATACTTCATGATCAGTTCTAGTACCAAGCGACCAAACGAACGCCGAGGTATCAATGGTGTAGTACATGCCCGCAGGCGTCGGATCTCCCGATTCATCCGGTTGGCCCTGCTTACGGGTCTGCGCTGCTTTCTTCGTCTTGATTCAGAAACTGGTGCTCCTGCTGAGCTTCCCCCTGAGTTCTGGCGAGTCTGTTGCGGCCTGGCTGTGCGTGGGCGATTCTCCTGGTCGTCCTGGTTTTCCTCGTTCCTAGTTGAGCGTCTAGTCGTTGATCGCAGCGTGGAGGAGCGTCGGTTGCTGGCGTTCTGTGACAACAGGCGGCTTGAGGAGAATTCTAGGCCGTAATCAGTTTCATTTTCATCCGCCTCCGGTGATTGAAAACGAGAGCTTTCATCGCTCGAGTTCTGTGCACTCTGCAGTGGCTCCATGTTTTACTTTTAATTTTTATGTGTTTACAAGTGGATTTAACCAACTCTGGCCACTCTGAAAATAGTAAGTCCCTTACCAACACTAACAGCAGGAAGCTGGAAAAGTTGACTATTTTTTGTAAATAAACTTCAGCTTTGCCAGCCGTTTTTTGCAGTGCTCTGTAGGGGCTCACTGCCACGCTCCATAATTAATTTCGCTCATGAATAATTTTTAATTAAATGTGCAAGAGCAGAAGGCAGAAGAAAAAAAAGCCAGCAGCAGCACTAAAATAGCATTGAAAGGAGCAATGTGCCCAGCTTTTGTCATAACCCAGAACTGCGGGGGAAAATGCTTCTGCTGAATCCTGCATGGCATTCATAATCAAATTGAACATAAATAAATAAGCAGAGCAATAAGACTCAGGTGGGGGCAGGCAGACACACACATATCCAAAGTGGAGTTGCCTCCGTTTGCAGTTCAAGTGGCTGCCGGAGCGTCGAAATAACCCAACCGAACAGGAGCATCCGGCATGAGAATCACGAGTAGCTGGCTGCTACTTGAGGTTACCAACTTCTCGAGTGCAATGTGGATGAGGAACCGGACTGCCACTGCCAACTGTACGTACGTGGCTGTTATCAACTGTCGTCCATTAGGGGTCCAAGACACATCGAAGCAGCAGCGTCCCAACATCATGCATCATGCTCTGGACGACTCTGGAGTGTGGAGTCTCGAGTGCCAGCTGAATGCTCAATAAATTATATATGTAACATGCTTTTTATCAATTACTCGCACCTTCAAGCCGCCAGACGACCGACGACAGACGACAAGCGGCGGCCATGTCCATGTCCATGGCAAATTGCGGGACAAAACGAAGGGACAGCGCCGAGGGCAAGGAGCCAAAAGAGCCAGACGACTTTACTTTGGGAAACTACGTTGGCAGCAAATGCAATTCCACTCAGTAAATGGAGCTGGCAGCCAGGAACCGAGTCCAAAGGCGTTAACAAGTGTGGCGACGGCGGAGGCGGAAAGGGAGCTCCTTCTTGCCCAGCGCACTCTGGGCTCCTGAAAGTTTCCCATTAGTTTCGCCTTGCCTAAATTTTTGGGCCACAGTAAGACCTCGAGAAGAGCTCATTGACTTTTTTATTTTCTATTTAAATATATTTATACTTTTTTGAAAAGAGGAAGTTCGTCTCGAAGCATCTTAACTGTATTTCATTTTGTAATTACAGAGACTGTATTTCAGCATTTACATCTTAGCTGGTTGGCGTTTTCCGACAACCCCAATCTCTCAGGTCCCCCAGCTGCATAATATCCTACAACTTATTCATTGTTTCGTCAATCAGGCGTTGACATGCCAGTTCCGCCCTAATGGCCAACAAACTGCGCAACAGGAGAAACATGAAGAACTGGAGCTGGCAAGGGAGCCCGAGGAGCATGGGCAAGAGGAGGAGCACCTGCCACGAAAGCCAGCCAAAGTTATTCAAGCAAAACTCCTCGAACAAATACAAACAACCCAACAAGAAAAAAAAAAGCCAACCGAAAAACTGAACAAAGACCAAAGAAAGAAAGCAATTTTGTGAAAATTTAAGATGTGTTGCGGACAAACTTTGGTTCTCCTTCTCCGCTCTGTGCATTTTACATACAACACGAAGGAAACATGAGAACAACAAGCCCACGAAAAAAGGTGGAAAGATAAAAATGTGAAGATACCGGAGACTCGAGTCAGGGATCCAAACAAGCCACCAAACCATACAAGCCAGCCAGCCAGCCAACCAAACCAACCAAGGCATCCCAGCCAGCAGCAGGCAGCAGCAGGAGTTCACTCATTTAAATTATCAACACGACCAGGAGGAAAGCGAATGAATGCGAGAGAGGAGAATCCTCCAGCGAATCCACTTAACTTCAAGTTAACACATATGCTTGGTTGCCTGCGTACGATAATAATAATCACAGGACCGATGATCACCTTGATGATGATGATGATGATGATGATGATGATGAAGTTGGGTTTCTTGTTTCTTTCCCACTTTTTCGCCTTTGCAGTTTTTACCAAATTGTTAATGGCCATCAAGGACGAGGACAGAGAGACCTGGACGCAACAAGAGATCCCAGCCGAAATTGTAGAACCTTTTCGTGGCTCCTTATGGTTTTCTCTTTTATTTTTAATTATTTGGTTATGTTTTTACTTTGTTGCCTGGTCAGAGATGGTGTAGATGAGAAGGAGAGATCTTGTTTAAAACTTTGTTGAATTTAACTTGAATTTTCTTTGAGATAAATATTATATCCTCAACATATTTCCTCTTAAAACTAACACAATGGTATACTCTACATTCCCCTCCAGCATCCGTGACAGCTTTAAATTAAAAACAAAACCACTGACACGAAAATGTTCACACACCTACTTAAAATGTAATCGCCGCGTGCTCCAAAACGGAGAGGAGAAGGAGGAGGAGGATGAGTACGGCTGCGGGATGTGGCAGCTGGGGTGCCTGTCCGCTCACTCGATATGACAACTGGCCATTAACGTTAAAATAAATACGTTGCGATGGCCCCAGCACCACCACCAATTGCCAACTAAAACGACTGAGAGTTGGCCATAATGATTATGTTGCTGACAGGAAAGGGGGCCGGAGCCGAGGGAAGCAAGCGATGGAGCGTTGAATGGGAAAAATCAACAAACCACAAATCGTATGAGCCGGCGACGGATGCGGGAAAAATGCTAAATAATCTCCGTAAAAAAAAACAACAGAGGAAGAGGAAGGGAGGGGGAGAAAAAAATCAACGACCAAAATGGAAATCGACTTGTCCTGGCCGCGATAATGTGCATGAAAAATTGCGAGTAGCCAGCAGCATGGCGAATTTTGATGGCTTGTCCAGCGGAGCGCACCGCACAGAACCGGCAACAGCAACTTAAAATGCATTAAAACTCGGCTCTGCACGGCAAGGCAACGGCATCGCAGCATTAACATTTAAAAAGTTAAACATAAACATGACTGGCTGCATCCGCATCCACATCCTCATCAGAGTTCGTCGAGGCAGTTAACAAGCTGCCAGCCACCATCACCAGCCAGCAGCCGTCAGTTGGCCAAAACAGCATTAAAGCGATGAGAAAACTGAGAGAGCAACAGCCCAGCATTAACGCCAGAACTTTAATCTTCGGTATACCAACTTATTTGCCTTTTTTTAGAGAGATTTCTTTTTCTAAAGAAAACCATAATAACTTCAATAAGGTTTTATTCAAAAAAAAAATAAGCTTATCTTGTTAAAGATAAAGATAAAGATCTGAAACAACATTTACGAGTATCTTAAACTTACGAATTTTAATTAATTAAATCGATATTTTAGCGATATTTTCTGTATTTCCCGATTTCCCACATATCGATATTTTAAAATTAAATGCAATATTGCTCAATATTACAAAAATTCTATAAATAAAAGTTAATGATAGTATAGAAAATAAGATATTGAGCTTGATATTTGTGTCGATATATCATATCGGACTTTTCCTATCAATAAATATCCCTAGTCAGAGGATGATTTCTTTTCTCTTTTCTGATATGGGGTTTTCTAGATTTTTTTTTGTCTTGTTTAATCCTTATTTAGTAAAATATTTTCCTTATTCAAAATCGTTTCAAAATTCCAACAGATTTGCACTCCCTTAAAAAAGTTACAACCTTATATTTGATAAAGTAAAAGCAACTTTACACCTCCTAAACTGATTTCATTATCCCTGAGGGGGCTTTTGTGCAGTTTTATGAATTTAAAAGAGTTTAAACAACAAGCCCTAGAGTGTTTGTTTATTAGACAAGTTACAACTTTCAAGGGAAAGCAGAGAGGTAGGTTCTACTCTGTAATATGAAATCTGAAAAATTATATGAAATCATCAAGAGTGTTGTAAAAATTATAAACGAGCCCAACGGCAGGCCTGCCTTCCTGCCAGTCTCATGATTGCATTAAAATTTATGCCAAAAACAAAATCGGCAGACCCGGAAAGGCAACAGCATCTGCTGCTCAGATCATCATCAGCCCATCCCAGCTCGTTGAAAATTGCCCAGAGCCGAGTTCCAGGTCTTCAGCTTGAGCTTTAGCTCCAGTCCAAGTCCAATCCTTTGCCCACTTATCGGGCAAACATCATCAACTCGACGAGACGCGACGCAGCGCGACTCAAAACAAAATGCTGGATAGGAGGAGCTCCGTGTGGTAGAACACTCTGTGGACGCAGCTGGGGCTGTGCCAGTCGAAGCCAAAAGTGGAAATTGCAATTGTGCCCGAAAAGGGGCCGAGGAAGAGAGAGCATTTTGCCATTGTTTTCCTGATGGCAGGCCTCATGTTTTATTTAAAATCTTCAACATTATATTACAATGGGCGGTTGCGACGATCTTTCCATTTGCTTGATGGAATGAAGCATTTAAATATTATGCAGATGGATATGGCTGTTCCAACCCCAAGCTCGATTTTCTTTTGCATCCTTTTATTTATTTATATTTTTTTGTGTGGAGAGAGTGTGTGTGCGATATAAACCATCACGAAACCCCGAAGACGTGCCCGACCAAATAAAATGCTGAAGAAAAAGAAGAAGAAAAAAAAAATGAAGTCATGAACTTTATTTTCTCTCAACTCGTTAGCATCAACACCCATTCCCGTTTCCACCACACCCCCGTCCAAAAAATCCCTGTGCGAAACGCCATTAACTCGCACAGCATGCAATTTGCACGTTCGGAAGGGAAAGACTTGCCAAAACTCCACTCGTTCACGCTTCGGGGGAGCGGCTAAAAGAAGAAGCTGGTCAGGCTATAGATACACTGAAAGATTTTGGAATTTTGGGAATCTGGAACTTAGGAATTACACTTTTCTATGATAATGGAGAGTTGAAATCAATTTTAAAGTGTGTAAGAGTATGCAATAAAATATTTTAGGCACCAAAATGTCCTTAATAAGTTTTGAAGCATGCTTTTAGGCACAATTTTAAATGATTTCAAATTAAAATCGCTTTAAGGATTGTTTTAAAATTACTTTATTACTAGTTTTACCCTTTATAAATGGTTACTTTTAGACATATTTTTAAATCCCAAAAGACT